AATTTATTTCATGCGTTTACTAATGAAGACAAACATGAGAAGAAAAGCGCGTACAAGCAAAACGAGGCGAATTGGAGAAGGTAAGTGAGCTAACCCTCCTTGAACTGAAGAATGGCTATGTATTTATAGTCAAGCAATAATAGGCTAGACACATAATAAGCAAGTAAGCATGCACACACACAATCAAATATACAATAATCGATACTGTAATCAAATTATTATAAATACAAAATTATGATCGATACAATTATCGAATAATTCAAACGACTACTTATTAAAGTACAATGATTGAGTTGTGAAATGCTACAGTTCCATAATATATCTTATTTAAAAATAGCTGCTTACTGAGCGTTATACCTAAACCATTATTAATACATTGAAATAAAAATTATTAAGGGCTAATAGTGATATCTTACACCTATATCCTATTCAGGATTTATCGATTGTACATATCTGTTTCTGTGTTTTTGTTCATTTTGGGACTCATACCTTTTTCTACTTCAATCGCTAAGGTGTTGCCCATTGACTTCTCGAGTTCAAATAGTCCATAGGTTGTCCTAAATAGGATGAAGAGGTAGTCCTGGATTCCACTACAAGCGGTTGTCCATTTTAAACTAAATATTTCTGACCTCACTGCATATACCGAAATGATCTAGTGATAAATATTCCTTTTTTAGCACTACTTACCGAAGGATTTAAGCACATATTGAAAGAAATTATTTTATTGATGCAACTACAAATACTGTCAATACAGCCGACAAAACCGAATTAAAACAATGAACAATTTTCAGTGTAGCAAACTTTTCCCACGAAATATTTTTATTTACTGATTGTTCTAAAGTCCTGAAAAAGTTAATACTCATAAAGACTTCAATATGGAATGGAAAGTGAATTTTCACCAACCAGTAACAACACAGAAAATCAATCTCAAGTTAAATGCGATGTCTACATGAAAAAGAGAACATGTAATATTATGGTAACTTAGCAGATCAGTGATGGTAATGTATGCGTATTATATAAAAGAACAAATTGACTTATGATCTAAATAAGTGATCAAAATATGTCACATTCAGCGCAAGATCTTAAACTTCTTGACTGAATTTCATGTGATATTGAAAGAGAATCAAATCGGTCAGTTTCATTTTAGGAAAAAAAATGTGTTCAATGTATTTATAACTTATGTTATTCTTTAGTCGATGTCTATAACAAATGAAAATTACTTCTTATCTATGTTAGATCGTTACCAAATTCAGTCTTATGCCATTTATCACTAAACCACTCATTATTTTACCCTTCAATTAATTGTACACTCAACGTAAATTTTAAAATAACTATTTTTATAACATTTCTATGTTGCTTTTGAGTTGACTTCAAGTCTATAAATGGTATTGTATGGTATGTAAATACAATTAAAACTAATTATTCTTCTTCCTAAGAAAGATTTTATGCAATAATATTATTTCATCTTTGTATTATATATAGTCGCATCCATTGCGTTTTCCGTCCAAATATTACATTTTGTATTTGTTTTCATTTTCTAAATTACTAGTGACGTTTTATGTATTTTAGTCTGATAAAACATGTTACTTACAAGTAGTAAACTAAAAGTGAAGTAATTGCCAGGGATGACTTGTTTCAGTACAGATGTTTGATTTACAGTTACCATGAACAAATGTAATTAGCTTACTTTTTCAATAGTAAATAAAATTATCAGAATGAGAGAGATTTTCTCGAAATGATTTTTATCTAGTGATCGTATTTAATGAATATGACTTCAGTTCACCTCGTATCTTTATTGTAATGACTTAACATTATTCTCTTGTAAACTAGTCTTTTACGTCCAAGCAGTGATGGATGATGACTAGCAGTGGAATCCAGAAGGCAAGTCTCGTCCTGTTTGGGACTTGTCAACTGAATGTATCTGCGTCCCAGACTTACCATTCACTCCAGGATTTATGCAGCTGCCAATTCCTAGGTTTCATTGCTAGTCATACTCCATCTTGGTTTATAATCCTTGTGAATTAATGGCAGTGTACGTATGCAAAAAGAGGTTGATCTGTTTCTGTCTGTTTCATCTGTTTCAGTTATATAACTTAGATTAGTTAGTTATTTCTATCGCATTCAAGTTCCATACTAATAACTTATATATTTTGAGCCTGATGAACATGAGTAATAAGCAAAGAAAGCTGACATGTTTACAAGTAAATTGACATTTATTGTTCATCGGACGAAGTGTTATCATCTAAAAATAATCAACAAATTTTTTAGCTAGTGAATGTTGATTTTGCGACATTTAATAAATTAAAACGGTCACAATCTAATTTAAAAAACGTCTAAAAGAGTAATCTAATGCTAAATAAAACAAACGTGGTAACTTACGACCTTATATTACATGAATGAGACATTACTGCTTCAGAATCACACAAATCACAGAAATATCAATTGTTTAGTTGGACGGATCTATAATCCCTTTGCAGTTTAACCGACTACTGCTTTAAGATTAAAATATTAAGTCACTCTAATTGTATTTCAATGACTGAGAACTGTACTAAGTGTCAGGATCCAAAAGATTTTCAAATACTGACAGCGCCTCTTTGAAATTATCGCCTCATATCTCAATGAGAATAAAAAAAATTATCCAGCTCAAAAAGAGACATCATTGAAGTCATCTACTTAAACTTATAATTCTTCTATCATTTCAAAAACGAATACTCTTTATGTCCTCTTATGGATAAAGTAAAGAATCTTTGTATTTTATGTCACTTGTAGTTATAACTTCTAATTGTTTAGAGAGCAGTTAAAAAAAAAATATGTTTGATCGATTTTCTGGTATTCTGGTAAAAAGAAAACCATGGAACTGATATAGATTTCAAGTTATAACTTATGAATAACTAGGGCAACATGTCCCATAGTCCACTGTAACACGTGTAATCGGCAGTCATTGAAGGGTGGAGAAGATTAAAACCACAACACACAAGGTTAACTAAGCACCTCACACCAAGTGAGAACACGGAGTGCTAGCCACGGGACTTTTATTTGAAAATTAAATAACGCGGGCTAAGTAAGGAAAGGAATGGCTTGTTTACAAAAGTCTTATGAGTTATCCTGTAAGTTCAGTGCCCTCAGAGCTTGTTCTTCGGCTTCCAAAGCGTTTATGTTTGATCGCCCTGCAATAGAAAGGAAAACAGAACTGGTTAGCAACATCATACATAATGATTTTAACTCTGTTACACCACAATATCCAAACCATAATAGATAATAGTGTGCCAAAACTATGCGTTATTCAGTAGCAGTTCATCATAAATTGACAATCTATTTCTTCTACTATTATAAACCAAACAAGTAATTCATTGGGGGTAAAAGTTACAAGAAAAAGATCAAATGTTCAATAAGATCTCGAGCCACTTAAGCCGACGTTGTAAAAATAATTCACTTATTGATTAACAACACATCTTGTCCCCCACACCATACAGAAATAAATGTTAACGGAATTCATGATGCTGGTGTTATCAAAATCAGTCGGTTTAACAATGATACTGATGACTGAAAACTAAATCCGTTTGAATATTCTTAGCTGTCGTTGACTTAGTTTTGAAAATATATAGGATGAATTAACACGCAGATAAGTTATATACCATATAATTTGAATTTTTATTCTAATATGGCTAGTGAAGTCAACAGCACTCTTAACTAACACAGTGCATAGACTGAGCAAACAAAATTATTTCTGAATGATAACTGGGGGCACACGTTTTGGTTAAACAAAATAGAGGCAATGATTCAGTCAACACACCATAAACCAAATCTCAAGTATGATTGATTTTTTTGAGTGATTTTTTGTTATTAAAATTCAGTTAGGTGTTAAATACTTATAAATTTCTGCCGTTATCATGACAAATTTTATATCACTCGCAGAAAACTAGAAATACAAATAACTCACCAAGTGTTAGGAAGAATTTTATGTGACTTTTAAAATTCGGGGTCTTTGTTAAGTTGACCAATCACTGTGTTTTCAAAGAATCCTCGAAGTCAGCTGTCATTGTTAGATAACCATTTCTGACGAAAGCTAATGAGAGGTTTCTCAACTTTCGTAAGACAAGAGCTACTTATATATACAACTTTCTCAGCAATAGTCAAACTAGCCATCATCTTCAGTAATTCTGTCTTGTTAATAGAAAATCTTACAATATTAACTTCAAAGCATATTGTTAACCAGTTTCACAGCAGAATATATCACTTAATTTTAAAGTTTTATCTGACTCCATTATAAGTACAGAAACATAGTGTTTCCTCCTCAATCTCAAAAGGATAAGAAGTTACCAAAGACAGCCAAAAAATGAGCTCGGAAATTCAAATCCAAACCATGATAAAGAGCGCCTTTAATCACTAGATCTTAACCCATTGAAGTATAAGCAACTGAGAGGAGACTTTTGAACAACTTATAGTGTCCTAAACACTGATGCTTTAAGATATCCTCCTAAGCCTAAACCCAACACAAATCTTGGCGGCAATACGCATTAATTAAAGATACAGCATAGAAAACTAGACAGTAGACACACCTTCTAATCCTAACCAATCAGTTCTTGCAATTCACTACTAAAACCGCTTGAAATACCGAGAAGTACAAAACCATAGCACTAGAATTTTTTTAAAATCTGATTATTAAGTACATAGATTTAATCCAGTTTTTATTTTTTTTCATACAAACTTATACTCACATGTTAGTAAACCATACTAAAATTACAGCCTAATCATTATTGCATTAGAAGTCTGAGTAGTTAACTATCCCACTGCAATTATGATTGGATCCTTTTTAAGATGTTCAATCGGGAACAAAAACCTAACCTCTAAAAATACATAATGCACTATACATTTTAAGCGACAATCATATGATAACCAATAATTGAGTCTCTCAATAAGATATAGATAATTGTAAAAACTGTCACGTTTTCTTTAATATTGGATTGGTCATAAAATGTTATAGTGTAATGAAGACAGAACAACACTAGACATACAAAATCGTTGGTTGACCTTGAGCTCTTATACAATGGGAAATCAATAATAATGGCTCTTGTTTCTTCTATCACATTATTTGTCAAACAATAAACAGCATATGGATGATGTTTATCCTTTCTGTTTTTTACTCCTTGAATCATGTAAACTGGTTTAAAGTGAGTTTGGTGTTATTATTGATCAAATATTACATAATAATATTTATCATCTCCAATAATTATCTTTGTATTATATGTTTTTGAAAAAGTTCGTCGTAAGTTTGTTTTTATTCAATTCAGAGATCATGAATAGGTAGGATGCTCAATTTGAAATTATTTTCTATGATAGAATAATGCTAACTGGGAAAAAAATGAGATCACTCTAGTTTTCAACTCTTCAACAATGTGCACACACACAGAGCTTTTATATTTTTCTGCGTAGCATGATACTTTTATCGACAGCTAAGTTGAAATCCATTGGTTCAATGTCCAATGTAGTTCAATCATCAGCTAATATCACCGACAATATTTATCTCAGTCTCAGTCATCGAATCGGTCGGTTTTCTTTAATCAAAAATTTCAAGAGCTGATTGTTTTTCAATGTAAATTTAAAGAAACTGTCGGTTTGAACTGTTTTTTTTCCCTGGTGTATAATGATTAAACTTGGTGTTGTAAAAGTTTAGCTAAAAATTAAAGCCATAACTAAATTATCAATTTCATGGATTTATTTAATGGATTCTGAATTTTCTAGTTATAACAGATTTTCAAAAAATCTGTTAGTCAATGTCACAGTAATCCAATGAATAACATCTTTTATCCTTTAACAATTCAAGATAAAATCTTTTCCCTGAAACTTCATGTAACTAATTCTATTATTCATATGAAAATCTATTAATGAAGACATACATATAAGTTAATAATTTTCATTCAAAATAAGGGAATATTTGTTAGTGAATTATCAAATGGTCATTATTTTTTATAACTTCAAATGATTCGATATTAATCAATTAGTCAGTCAAACAAAATATTAAATCCTTACTACAGTTAAAAACGAGTAATTTATTGACGAATTATTACTTCAAAATCTATCAGTGACAAATTTTTACTCATTGATTTTGGTAATTACGTGATTATCCTAAAATTTGTTCTAGTTGGGGGTAATGTCCACTAAACCTACATTTTCTCCCAGAAAAAAGAAGATTTAGGTTTATTTACCTCGGTACAACATTTTCTAGTGACTAGTGTTATTAATGGGTCTTAATCATAACTAACTGGAAATTAGTTTGATACCCTTGTTCCCTGTACTCTTTGTTTTATAATGCCCTTAACTTTCTATGATCCGGAAAACCAACTCTAATTACTAGATTTTTTTTAATTACACATTAAGCTTCTTAGTAACACTTGGATATTCACAATTGTGTATTTCAGTAAATATTAACGTAGAGCCTGACATATGTCAGGCTATTAGCCTATATTAGTAAATCACATAAGAAGAATAGGATCAAGTTAACAAGATGAGTACTGAAGGAGTCCAAATAACAATACTAACAAGAATAATGGTAATGACTAAAACTTAAATTAATAATTCAAGAAGACGGTATGGAAAATTACTTGAGAAGAAATATTAGATTACAGGATCCATACTAAGGAAAGTATTGAATCCATCATCAAAACTCATCCATGCAAAATTTTATGAATTGCGTAATTCGGCGCTACATGTAACTATATCTCTGTTACATTAATATGCTAAATTTATTAGCAATACTTGACTAAAATTGTAGTGTAAACTCATTCTTCCATTTACCAGTTTACCTATATGCTACTGATTAAACATCCCAAGTTAATCGTTTGCTTACTAGAATAGTTTAAAGCAATTATTGAACATTGAACGACAGCTTTAACTCTGATTTAGAGATGTCTCCTCGTATCTTTGGATACCACAGTTATACCCGCTTATAATCTAGCGGAAGAGTTCCAATGACACTTAGTTCTTGAAGGCAGACAGATAAGTTTCGAAGCTTTCAGTATCTTTCTGGATAGAGTCATGAGAACGACGAAGAAAGATTCACAATCACACTACCCGGCTTAGAAAACTTAACCCACTTAAAAATAGCCCTTAATTACATAGCCTAAATACACCTTCATATCGACATTATTATAAATGTCAAAACTTATTAACTGTATTCTCAAGATACTCCGTTTCTCAGTCACTTCACACACTGATCGAAAAGCTTTGCTTAAAACTGAAGACTAAAATATGATATATATAGCTACGTAATAATTAAAGCACTTATAAAATCACGACCACTGATTCTGTCACAATTAGAGTATGTTTCTAAAAGATGCAAACTTACTAAAGTAATGAATATCAATTTTCTGCTATCATACAAGACCTAACACTGTATACCTTTAAGTCGAATTCTACGGTCAATTATCGCGAAGTATCCTTTAAAACTGAAGTCATAACCTGGCCAGATTAGTATTGATGTCTGTGTTTGCAACATTAAGTTCAAATATGTGTATGGGGATAATATCCTCTCAAATGGTTTCAAAAAAAAAAACTTTAAACATTAATATAAACTATATATATCGATCGATATTTTCATAATTCTCTATTTTTTTTTAAACAGTTTAGGAAGTATAAATTCTTTTGACAGTTTATATATATACAAAGAGATAGAGAGAGAGAGAGAGTATTTTAAAAACCTTCCTTTCATTTACCATCCTACTGTATCATATTCTTTTATATACAATTTTGTTTTATTGATATTTAAAAAAAAATTAAGATAAACAATATTCTTGAAATCGATTAAAACATACATATAAAAGCACTACTTTATGCTTGTGTTGTTTAGATAAAACGTTTAAATAAAAAATCTTATTGATAATTCCAGTATTTAATTCAAGTAATGTTCACTTATAATTTTTAAAATTCATGTCTAAAATAAAACAAACAAGTAAGTGCATAATTTAATTAACATTTGAACTATTGAAGAAATTATTAATGATAATAATTCATGTAGAGTCTCACTAATTATATATATATATATATATATATATATATATATACTTTAAAACTTAATTACTTGTATTCATCCTTTCTCTTCCGAACTCCTAATGAATCTCTGTGTAGTCCATAAAAATGAATTACTTATATTGTCTAATACCTAAGTAGCAGAGTTCATGAAGTGAAAATAAATTCAAGAATTTCAAAGAGATCATTTATAATTAAGTATCACCAGTTAGTGGAATTACTCTAAATTAAATACTGCTAAATAGATCAGTTAATGACTTTTTTAATAAAAGTTAGACTATCGTCAAGTTAAAGATATTTACAAAAATATTTTACTGAGCGGAGTTATATCCATCTGATGAGTTCTAAATAAGCGACATATCCTATATCCTAAATCCCACTGGTAGACATTATTCAACTTCACAAAAATTGTCGATACAGATGTCATTGTATCCACTTATCCGCGGAGAGATTAATCATTTCGGGTCTTTTTAAAGGATCAACAAAGGGAAAACATTGTATTAAAATGCCTAAAAATCATAATTGGTTCATGAAAATTCAAGAGGCATTTTTCATTCAGAAAAATTACGGAGAATATCATTTCATGAATAAAATAAGTGGATTTTCAAAATCAAACTATCTCATAAACATTTTCTGTTGCTCAAGCTTTCTTTCTATGAGGAACTCTTCACTATCGTACAATCTACACGTTATAATTCATTTTTCTAAAATTCCTATTACTACAAGCAACCAAATAAATAGTGATTCTACCTTTCTAATATATTTATTATTCAGAAACTCTTCCTTGAAATAAAAAAATTCAAATTTCATTATGATCTGAATTTTATTCACTTTCATAAGTAACAATACCAAATTATAACTTCTATGAAATTTGTTCATTTAAGTATGTTTCTTAAAGTCTCTACAGTATACTCATTTACAAACTCTTGAACGTAAGTGTTTTATAGTTTATATTACCAACCGATTTTATTAAAACAACCATTGATTATCAGGAAGCACAGGATAAATGTTTCAACCCAATGCATGACTCTTCAACTATGATAATCGCTAAGATTAGAATCCAGGACTTTCAAACCTTGCTACGAGTGCTTATCCCCTAAAACCACTAAGTCAGCATCAAATGGTCTACGCTTCTAACTCCAACAAATTCGTGATATTATGCAATCCTTGTTGAGTAACTGCCTCATACGCGATATCGGTAAACCTCACTAGTCACACCTTTACCTCGGGACTTTGAGAATCACCTTTTGAAACATGTTCATAGTGATTCTTGTAAATGTAAAATGTTTCTAATGTTATTAAAGATAAAATTTAACAATTTTCACAAATCTTTCACATTAAAACTATATTATTCACTGTACTATAAAGAAATTCTCATTCTGGACAAAAAAGCTCTAAAACCACCATGTTATACATTGAATTTGTTTTTTTAGTTGATAATTACAGAATAGACAAAAATATTAATTGGATGGAAGGAAGTTCATCAACAGGTAAAACAAACTGTTTGTGTTAAGATCTGAAATGTAGTTAATTTCTCAACAGCAACAACAACAAAGACATACACTATTTGATGCAAATATTGTTTTACTTGTGTAATTAGTTTCATATGCAAAAAAGATTTTATTTTTAGTTTATTTTTTCTAAGTATAATGACAGATTTTTAAAAAAAATTTTATCAATTTTTACACACACACACGAAGAAAAAAAATCAAACCAAATTTTTCATTTCAACAATCTGTTGACAATCTAAAAATAAATAATCACTTTTATTTTTTTTCGATTGTTAAAGCAAAAAAAATACTCTAACAAATTTATCTTGTTTTAAATTGTTTTCTATCTGATATGTTGAGTTCACATTTTGGTGGAAAACCAAAAACAAACAACCCTGTGATCTGTTGTATTCGTGAATTAATTAATTAATGACTGTCAGATTTAGTCGGAACTACCACCGCGATTAATTAAACAACATCAGATGTATGTTATACAACAGAAAAATAAATATTTTCTGTCAGTCCAAAAAAGAAAGCAGTGAACTTTATTATTTCGCAAGAAATATTCAGAAAAATCATAGGTGACATAGGATCAAGAAACAGATCAAAAGTGGGATACAATCAAAACAAAGGTGCAAACAACAACAGATTTAAGGTCAACATCAGCCAATCAAGATCGAGGTTAATAAAACATTCGACGGGTCAAACATCGTGAAATTTGAATGCTACACTTTTATCTGAAGTTTGTACCGATAATGTTGTTCAAAAGAGAACAATGAAAGCTCCAACACCAAAACAACCACCTCAGAGAACGAAAGATATAATGTAAAGTATATGATCCAAGCAAAACGCATATTCGGAGAGGATATCATTTTAAATTACAATATTGTTTTCAGAATGCAAACTGTACGACCCATCAGTCTTGCAGTCATAGAGTAACACTAAAGAGACTGACATATTCACAAAATTAAGAACATTTTGAAATATAGAACAATTTACATCCCAATAATAAATCTTTCATATTTAATATTAAACATGCTATAGCCTACTCCACATAAGCAAGCTTAATTTGTAGAGCAGATCCGATTTTATTGATTTAGCATAATTGTTAGAAATATGACTCATCACAGCCATCGTATTATACTCAGATTGTAAATGATTTTTTTGAGTTTTTTGTTAACTATAGACTAAAGTATTTAGAGAAACAGCATTTCTAATCGGTTGAGAAACTCCAGCATTACCTTTTTGAAAAGAAAAATTACATAGTGTTAGATAATCCCAGTCTAATAAAACAAAGTTCATAGAACTATCTTAAGATATAACAAAAAGGAGTTCAATTACTATCAACTTGTGTTACAATATATTGATCATTCTATATTATCCGTAGGATTCTTGTTTTTTTTCTTTGAAGTTTGAATAAACAAATTTAAGAAATGAAAACTGAATGAAATTATTTATGATAACGATTATCAAAAACTTTTTGTTGTTTTTCTTTTTGGCCCATAGAATTGAAATGAAATGACAAATTTAAATGAGCCACATAGAAAATTAAAATGTCTCTATGCAGGATTCACATGTATCGAAACTAAACTTGGTGAGTTTATTTTCTTTTCCCTTTATCAGAAACACTTGAGAATCTAATATCTAATATAAAAATTATTTTCATAAAAAAATAATAATACTTTATTTCATTTTATTTATATCATTGAGATTTTGCCCAACCGTAGCTGCTACCTTATCATGGTGGTCGGGCTTGCCTATCAGGATGACCTAACCGAGCTACATTGGCTGGAACATATGTTCCTGTAGGTTCTACCATGCCAGGCAGGTCGATTGAAGAACGACGAGACGAAAAGCAGCGACTCGAAGTCTGAGGGCGAAGTCGTACTGCTGACTGCAGAGGGGTGTGACAAAAGTAAGGTGTTTCCCTCGGACAACCAGTATCTGCAGCGATGCTGCCTTTTCACAAGGAAGGAAGGGGTTAGAAAAGGTCGGCCCTAAAACTGTCACACCTCACCCTACCTCACGGATTTCCGTCTCCGGCGGTAATGCCTTCTAAAACTAACGGAGCTAATACTTTGAAAACTTCTGATAAGAAGGCCGTGCGTGACCGGCCACAAGCAACTGTCCCTTGGTCTCTGCGGTCACGCTCCCAGGTCTCCAAGACTGACACTAATCTACCTTCCTTTTCAGGTTCTTCAAAAAACCTCCTTCCACGGTGTGGGCAGCCGGGAAGTGACATCCGCCCTCATACCCGTAACAGCACACGAGACCAAATTGGTCACAATGAAACTGACTGACTGATATTTTGATTAACTAACGATTGAATATTTTTTATCAATGGTTATTCATAGTCAGTCAGACCGAAATCTTAAATTCTGTTTGCTTTAAGTACCAATTTGGTAATAGTCACAAGAAGTAGTTTCTTTCAAATAAAGTTATACTATATAAATAGTAATAATCCTAAATTATAAATTTATAATAATTTATAAATTTATAAATTTAAACTGACTTAAGTAATGTTATTCTAAAGGTCAAACGACAGATTATGCAATTCAATCTGTTCATTTACTTAAATATGTAAATGAAAGAAGTCAGTAATAAGTGTGAATGAATGTATTAAAAAAATTGGTATTCTGCATAGTTCACACATTAACAGTTATCGCAAAATAACAACACTTCTAGCCAACGCAAATGAGAAATAATCAGAAGTATTTTTAAAAGAATCAGTCGATATTTAATAATGAACACTTCTCAATTCCATACATAAAACCCAATATCTTTATCAAATCACAACTTTAGATTATTCTGACATTGATTTTGTCAATGACTTAATCATCCTAGTTATTTTAAAACATTTGACCACCATTATAAGTGTCATTTTAGAAGCTGCAAATTTAACTCTGTGAATCAGAAATACAATGAATATTACACTGTAAACAAGATTAGCTAATTATCAAAACAACTTCGCAATTCTGTGGTATAAAGGGAATAATACTATTGTCATATGGAGGGAAATGATAGGAAGAGATGTAACTTATGAAGTTATTACCGTTAATCCGTTAATCACCTACTGCTAAGTTTTTACATAACTAATGATTTAGTCTATAACTAAGTGTTCCGACCACCAGGCGAGCAATTTATAACAATTATAAAATCTAGCTTCTACGCAGTGAGTAGTTTTTAATTAACTAGCATTAGTTTCGATTAAACTTGTTAACTTGTTAACCGATTGACGTCCAGTGTTCCTAAAAATATTTAGAGACCTATATGTATCGCTTCAAACTGATGATAAGCGATGTATGCTCAAAGAAATGCGATCACAAACAGTATTTTATTATATTCGTACAAGAATTCTGTACGAATTCTGTACACACTGAACAGTGCTGTTTTGTAAATTCAAACTCTGATATCTCTAAATCTTTTGAATATTTTACTCGCAAACCATTTAACTGTTCTTAGTACCTACTTTGAAAATCTATCTTTATAGTTATACTTACTTCTGAATGTACTTTTTTTTAAGGTATGAAAACAATCAATCAAGCTATTCAAACTGTTCTAAAGAATATAGATCCAAGTCAATGGCTTCCAGTATACGTCTCAATTTCTCCGTCAACAATCAATTTCGTAAGAAATTTACCAATAAAAACTTATAAGATATTGTTCATAAATAAATGTTGAATTAATCTTGACAAAATGCATCACTTATTTAACTTGGAAAAAGGTTCTTACTATGAAACAATAATTAAACAAATAAGTTGTCAAAATTTCAATTAATACACTGACTCACTGAACCAACTTTCTTTGCAAACATAACCCTTCTGTTGTGGCTTATCATGACAGTTATACTACTGAGATTTTAATGATAGTAATTTGTCTTTAATGACCAAAAGTTAATTCAAGCAAACCAATATACAGACAAGAACAAAGTTTTGTGTATATTGTGATATATTCTCCAATAAACTGAATTACTTAGTTTAAGTGACATGTTATAATGAAAAGTTTACTAAAGAAGTGGGATAACGGAAATAGTGATGTTTAAGAAACACATTTGTTAAGGTAAAACTTAAATGTTTAACTTAATAGATGGCGCGTATTTTGAGTGATGCGTTACAAAAATGAACTGTTGATGATATATACTGCAGGCGTCATGAAATCGTCGGAAAAATTAAAGAAAAGAACAAATATTTGCATTCATTTTGGTATTTCTTGTTACAGGTCTAAAGGTGCTGCGTTAAGCAAGCTTTTTGCAGAAGGAATTTCTAACGAAATTACAAAGTATGTCTTTATGATGAGACTTACCAAGACAGTAGAACTAGACAATGTGAATTCATCAAAATTTTAATTTTGTCTAAATGTATTTTATTTGCGGCAATATCCGATTTATCTTGAGTCCCGTACAATAAGTGACCTGGTGTTACCTAATTTTAACTATTTCATCGAATACAGAAAACTCTCAACAAATCAAAGTACAAATACATTAGCACTGTTTAGAGTCATACCAATAGAAAGTGTTTGGTAGTATAATCACTCAAACAGACTGAAATCAAGTCGGTTTAGGTAAAATTAAGAGAAAATTGATCATATAAAATACTAGTCCCTGATATTTTATTCAACAACTGAAATATAATAACAATCATACAAAAATATGGTTTCTACACCACTCAGAGAAATAATTTGAATATGCTCATTACCGAAAAATTTCATACCACTGAGTAGTTTATCCGCAGTAATTATTCAGTTATTTCATACATCCTTGATAGAAGGGAACATGATTTGCAGACTAACATGAATTTATTATAGTTAAAGTCACTTCATCAAATGCTAATGGCTTAAATTTACATTAAAAGCAATATTACAAACACTTTTAATCATTTAACTTTAATTCAAAATGGCATAAGAAGCAAGGAGAGGAAACAACGTATTTAACTCGATAGTTTTTCAAATCCATTGGTAAAAAAGTTAACGTTATAAATGCTAATAAACAGACAATGAAAGAAAATAAACTGTTGACAAATGAGTAATAATCAACGAACCTAGATGACATAAAATTAATATTAATGTCATGAGTAGATGTCAGTGAACTCTTTTTGTTTTGAATGTTACAAATCTAAATCTTAAAAGGAGCATCACTCTCCTTGAAGCTATGACGAAAACATTAGTAGCCGATTGGTCCAGAGGTTAGGTGTTCGCGCGGAAGACCGAAGGTCATGGGTTCGAATCCAGCGAGGAGCAGGGGTCGTGGATGCACACTGCTGACGAATCCCATACCAGGACGAAACGGCCGTCCGGCGCTTCAAGGTTTCTAATGGTGGTCTAAGAATGATTGATTGGTGATTTCAATACTTATTTTACATTTTACATCGAATATGTCAGTGATATTTTATTTTTAACCTGTTCATAAACTACCTAATCAAATGTATGTTTTCTTCCAGATGAAATATTATTTTATTGGTTGTTTTCTCTTCTTTAAATGTAATCCCATCAAAAATTTATGATTTTATTGATCCAAATGTAACCATCATAATCAACAGAAATTCGATTAAAAAGCAGTTGTAAAGATTGATCATTTTGAAAATACCTTTAAACATGAACTGACTTCACTTATATCACTGACTCTACAACTGGTCATACTCAAGACTTAGAATTCATTCAGGAAGCACAGTATCTCTGAATCAAGGTTTAGTCAATTCATATTTTCAACTTCTCTCAATTCACCATATTTTCATGATATCATCTAGTGTCATAAGTGAGATATGGTTTATTCTAATCAGAGATTGTCAATAAAACTTTAAGAACTCTCTCTCTCTCTCTCACTGACGTTAATATGTACTAGAATTTGTAGGACTGGTAATTTTCTAGTCAACTTCACTAATCTAATCGATTAAAAAACTACCATTGATGTTAAAACACTGAATGTGTTCTTAGTATTTAATAAATTGTTAATACACATATATCAAAAATTTTTAACAAGTAATAAGTTTTATGTATGCAATAGTAGTAAAACTGCTGTACGAAAGTAAATGCTTATATAAACGACATTAGTCCTATATTTCGTTTAACAGGGATGTTTTTAACTTGTTTATGGCTTAAAACAAATTACTCTTCATCAAACTGTTTATTGTTTTGTTAGTGCTCTTGAAAAAAGATATTTCGAGGTATTATTGTGAAAGTACTTAGATTTATACAAATCACGCAGATGCTTCTGCTGGTGCTTTGTTCTTTGAGCTAGATAACTTAATTGCAGAATTTTCTTTGCCTCTCTGTTAAACCTCATCAGCCTCTACTTCATATAGGAGTCATGAAGTAGTAGGGCTAATTAAGCTGTCCAGAATGACAATGAAAACTATGCAATAAAGTTAGTTATCCAGCCTGAAAAACACAACAATACCAAAAAGTTATTGCCTAAATATGTACTTACTTTACTTATTTACTTACGCCTATTACCCCGAAAAAAGTATGGGCAGCACAACAGTATTCTTCAACCTACTCTGTCCTCGGTTTCCCTTTCCAGTTCTGTGCAATTTTTGTTCATTCTTCTCATATCTTTCTCTATTTTCGGCTTAATGTGTTCCTTGGCCTTCCTCTTTTCCTTTTGCATTGAGAGTTCCATGTGAGGGCTTGTCTTGTGACGCAGTTAGGTGCTTTTCGTAGTGTGTGTCCTATTCACTTCCACCCCTACTTCTTGATTTCCTCCTCCTCTGGAATCTGGTTTGTTTACTCCCACAGTAAGTTATTGCTGATGGTGTCTGGCCAACTGATCCGACTTCTTTTGAGTGGACAACTATTAATGAATACTTGTATCTTCCGGATGATAGTTTTCGTGGTTCTCCAAGTTTCCACCTCAGACGGAAACTTAAATCAGTGACAGATGTTAATTGATTAGTAGTTTATCAAAAGTTGAAAAAGAGAGAATATCGTTATGACATCAGACTTGACACTGACTTCTTCATACTGACTTTATAGTAAATGTGAAGTTATATCTTACTAATCGATCAAACAATTTCAAACCAATGATTTGCAGGTTTCTAGAGCAAAACTTAAAAAGAAATACCACGTAATTCCAAGCCTAATAATTAACTTTTAATAAAATAATTTCATAGAACATTTAAGTTTCTGTGAATCGATGGGAATAAGTGTCGTATACTATCGTAGTGTATAGATGATGCCATATTTATGCATAGCATATAAAAATTACCTAATAGTTTTGGAATAATTCTTTTCGGTTTTTTTCTTTTACACTAACCAATAAGACGGAAGATACGACTACTCGAATGACGACGGCCTAATATTAACTTGTCCCAATGGAAGAGGAGTAACAAAGAATAATAACCAAATAGTTCAAGAGTCATTATCATATTTCAGACATTCGTTTATTATATGCATACATAACCAGACTACAACGCACTAATTAATGGAAATTAACAACTAATATACACGAGTGAGCCAAAAGTGGTTGTGAACAAAAAAAAGGGAATAGTAAATTGTATGAGAGTAATTTATGGGATAATAGAAAGCGTATGATAAAAGAAATAAGTATACCAGATAGTTGGGTTGATGAATAATTACACAATTAGATTTTTATATACATCAATAATTCATAAATTACTTGCCTACGTTACCATTTACTTTAGTTCCCTTTTTGCTTGTTCAAAGTTAAGTCTTACTTTCGCCTGTTACCCCCAATGGAGCATAGGCCACCGACCAGTATTCTCCAACCAACACTGTCCTGGGCTTCCCTTTCCAATTCTGTCCTATTCTTGTTCAAAGTTAAATCTTAGACTAGCCATAATATGAGTGATGCATGGTTTTTGTTCCAAACAAATTTGTATATGAATAGCAGAACATTATTTCATAAGGTTATATAATTTATGTCATCTTAATTCTCTTTCATTTCAGTTTTATCAAAATCATATTGTTGTCAATCTTCGTGTTTGTTCAGTTCCATTTTTTGGAATATACAATCAAGATGAAAAGTAAGTATAATGAATCTGTTTTGTTTTCTCTTCATCTCATTGCAGTCCTAACTAAATATTTAAACAAAAACTAATCAGAGGAATTTTGAAATCCATTTTTTATGCTGATACGTACTTTATAACAAGATATGATAAACTGGAATTTTACAGAACTGCCATTCAGGTCTACGCATAATTCTAGTGATTACTATCGATATCATACTTTCACACGCAATATCTATTAAAATCACGTTATCAAATCAACACATAAGTAGTAAGTATTTGATACTAATTTGTAAATTTGTAGCAACACATACTTCTCAAAAATTATTAATGAACCAAATACAAGCGAAGAATATTAGCTGTAATCTATGTTGATATCACCAAATACTAAAGCTACTGAAAAAATTAAATCCAAAAATCTATTAATATGATTTAAACAGTCAGTACTATACTTAACTAAATCAATAAGAAACTTATAGAAATATCTAACGGAATCATGAGTTTTGTTAGGATATTCATGCAATATCCTAAGATAATTGTTTGTAAGTCTAATTCTATTATTCAATTCCTATTGGTCGTCCTAACTATCAATGTCACAGATTTCAATGTTGTTTCCTATTCGACCTTACTGTATAAATACGCATTATCTGTAACGTTTTATGACCAGGACCATGACGCGGATCCCCGGTCCGGGATCCCGATTCTTCTCTGAACTCGGACCTTGTACTTTCTGGATGCCTGTAGAACACATGTCTTACTTCATATCAAGTCTTCTTGTTTTACTGAATGGGGGTTTGGGACAATCGGATTAGAGTAGCATTTCGTGTCGCCGGATCGTCGATCCTCGCTCCGGTTTTCCGACTAAGGTAAACTTGTAATAGTTCAAGCATATCAATTATCATGTTGACATTCATGCGTAACAAGTTTACATCAGTAAAATGTTCAAAATCACTATTTCTTTTGATCTTAGTCCCAGACGAAAAAATATCTCGAAAAAGAAAAAAGAAAGATTCTAAAATCATACAAGCAATAAGCGGATTCAAGTTGATTTGTTTATTAGGGACATTGACATTTAGACAAAGCCTTTTTTGTAAACATTTAAAACTATAACGTACCATATTATATTTGAGTTTTTAATGTTGATGTAGGACATCCCTTTAGAAAAATGTACAAAATTCACATGGAAATATTTTCTGTTATCTTTTATGTATTTCGTCTATATTTTATTTTTTTTAAATCGTGTTTTATTTTCCAGAGTTTGCGGTATTATACAACATACAGCGGATAATTTATTTTTATGTCATGTTTTAATTTGTCCTATAAATGCTATGGAATTATGTAAAACACTTAAAGCAGCTTGTGAAGTAAGCTCCTTATTAAAAAAAATTCTATTTTATAAATCTTATAAAAATGAAAAGATTGCTTATAAATTCTTACGCATGCACGTAAACACGTCATTAGATAGTCTTGAACTACTACAAGTTTACCTCTGTCAGTAATCGAGAGCAAGGATCGAGGATCCGGCGACACGACAGGCTACACTAATCCGATTGTCCTAAACCCCCATTGAGTAAAACAAGAAGACTTGATATGAAGTAGATCATGTATTCTACAAACATCCAGGAAGTACGAGGTTCGAGTCCAGAAGAGAATCAGGACCCCGTACTGGGGATCCTGGTCCAGGTCCTAAAACGTTACAGATAATGCGTATTTATACAGTAAGGTCGAATAGGAAACAACATTGAAGTCTGTGACATTGATAGTCAGGATAACCAATGGGAAACAACATTGAAGTACGTGACATTGATAGCTAGGACGACCATAATATTGACCAGTAGGTATTGACCGATCGAATTAGACTTACAAAAATAATTCTCTTAGGATATTTGATGAATATTCTAACAAAAAGAAATTCGCTTTACATTTCATAAGCTACGGACTACCTAAGTTCAGTAATAGTTCAATGTATATAATGTGTTTAACAATCACTCTGAAAGTTTACACTAAGTTCCAAGTCTGAATGATCAATATCATCATCGGGAAATAAGTACATCCAGTTGACCAATTCTAAATAGGACAATATGCGTGTTGTGGATTCTATTCAACTTTACTTGATCACTCACTTCATTATTGATAAAATTAGAGAAATTCTAATGTTAACAAATATAAGATATATGAACATAAGATCTAATTTCGAATTATATAATTTTTATTAAATGATAAAACTCAATTTCATTGCGTCCATTAACAACTTATGATCAACTTAATTGAAAACAAATAATTTTTTTTCATTGTTCAAATAATAACCGATATGATAAAGAAATTCCTAGACATTGCCAAAGGTTATAAAATTAATATGATTTAAACAAGAATACAGAATATTTCATAGAAATTATTTGAATTAACTTTCATAAACTTATTAAATAAATCCCAAAGTTAATGAAAAATAACTAAATTAGAAAGCAGAATCATTTAAAAAACAAATCAACAATGTTAAAATGTTTGATATCTCCCAATAGATTGAATTTATTACCTGTTCATTTTTTTTGTTATTGTTTAAGAACTTCATATTCATTAACTTCTAGACATGTTTATTCGCTTTTTATTTGTTATATTGAGTGAAGGACTGATAAAACACTGAATAATGCTTAATGTCTCGTTTGTCTAATTCTTTACTCTTGATTGAATTCTGTTGACCAAGTTGAAATTTAATTACTGGTCTAGGTGACTTGATTTTATGTTGGGGTGTTATTAGTTAGTTAGATGTAGTGAGCAGGAAACCTTGGATAAAGTTTTTGTACTAGTTGACATTCTTCAATAAAATGTACCTACAAACTCGACCAACACTAAACAACTAGACATTGGTCGCCATTTACTATTGATCAATCAATCGGTTGTAAATATCTCAGCCCTACAGGTCAGTCAACGTCCGAATAGCTCAGAGAGAACGTCTCAGATCGTTAAGCTTAGTGTTCTGGATTTAAATCTCACAGGGAGTATCAATGCCCTCGAGAGTGCAAATACTCTCTGTTGACCCTTGCCAAATAAGCTGAAACCTAGATCTGTGCTGCTGAAGAGCTTAGAACAATGAAAATCTCGCGAGGATATCAACATTCATTATTCGAATAATCTCGACTACTTGTAAATGATGATCAATCTCAAACTTTCAATTGTTCATTTCAATAAACCCCACCGAATATTCACAAGATTTGATTATTTTTTTTATTTAGTGGTATCATTTGACTAAGCCTTTGAAAACGTTATCCAAGTCGATAGTAGGGTATATAACCCACTAACTTTACTATTTGTAATTTCTGATTACTTGTATTCAGTAGTACATACCATTAAAATATATATGTGCATATTCTCCTGAAATCGTTCACAGTTAATTTCATCTGTGAAGGAAAATAAAAAATCTCCCTGATTGACGTAATTCCGAATTGACTGGAAATCGATCACAACAGAACAAATGTATCCATTACTTAGCTTTTTTCAAATTTGTAAATATTCCATTTCTTTTTTCATTTCCTGTTTTCATCTGTTTCTTATGATTTTGGTCTTTTACTATTTTTCATTAATATCGGTATTATTATCATTGCCATTTCGTAGTCTTTAAATCTCTTTTTATTGGTGGTTGTCGCTCTCATTCGATTTAAATGAATAGATAAATTAAACCAGAGCATATTTTTACCAGGATTCACACTGTGTAGATCTATCTATCTACCTCACATTCATGATACGACGAAACAGTATCAAGTGCACAATGCACTGAAGTTGAAGTATTTTGAATTTTTAAAACTAACCCCAGTTGAATTTCATAAAAGTTGTGTAATTCTCATCCCAAACTGTGAATTACAAAAATGTTACATTTATACAATATATTATTCATTAAAATCGTCTAATAATTAGTTGTTATAAAAACATCAGAAGCAATTTAATTAAGAAGAGATTCGTGTCAACAGGATTACTGAAACAATTTAATTTGTTTGGTAGGTGTATTCAAACTGTCATGATTATACATAAAGTATTTTAAAGTTTCACAGATCATACTTCAAAAGCTATGGTAAGTAGGACTTAAATAGAAAAAAATTCGATAATCAGTGCTATAATTAATTTGACCAGAATAAAATGGTTGTCTAACTTAGATCAGTTCGTAATCCGAACAGAATAGAACTGTTGCAAGATTTACTGAAATTAATAGTTTGCGTTCCTAATCGTATCACCGACAAATCACTATGAATCCTAATCAGTTTCCGATCTCCTGGAACGCCAGATAAACCTACATTACTTATAGTCCAATACAGTGCTAATACTAGAATAACTTATAGATCGAAAATGAAAAAGATAAGCTAATTTTTCATTGTTGTAAAAGACTGATAACTGAAAGCTGATTTACCTGGAATCAATCTAACCAAAATTGCGTCTAAAATTTCATTTCTACAGTTACGTTATCAACAATGTGTGGACTCAAAAATGTTTAACATTTACAAATTGAATAATAACCCGTTAGATGGACCAAAAACTAAATCAATGGAGCATTCAGACGTAAGTTAAATATTTTTATTGATCATATTTTAACAGTACAACGGTTATTTATAGCAAAAGATTATTTTATCAGCGCTTATGTTTAGTATTTACAGTCACATTGTATAAGTAATGCAATTTAGTGATCAGATGTGACTTAAATGAGCTGAATGATGAAAGTCTGTCAGTTGCAACGTAGAACTTCGTACGTATGTACATAAGTTCATGTTGCCATACCAAATTAGCACAGAGATACAAATGTCAAATCAAATCTCATAGTGATAGATGTAGTAGAGGTATTAACGGTAATGAAGAAGACTAGGGTTCGAAGATATTATTCAAGAAGCATAATTCAGTGAGATAAGGTTAGAAAGACAAAGGTAGAGGTGCTGACGATTCCACAAGATTACGATTTGAGAGAGCACAACGAATGGATGCACTTGCGCCACTGTAAACGATTCTGAGCCATGTCGTTCAACGTCTCTAACCATCGGTGACTTTCGTCTCGCGGACACCAACCAGGTAACCTACATCTACCAACATGACTCAGTCTACTTGTCAGTGACTTCATGGATTTCTGTCATGTTTTGGTCTGGCCGCCCCTAACTTTCTTCCAACCTACTCCTACACCACAAAACATAGCTCGTCGAGGCAGTCAGTGGTTAGCCATACGTAACACATGTCCCAGCCACCTCAACTGATGAAGTTTCACTACTTAATCTACTGATCTGCCATCCTTACCTAGCACCCGTTTCCTAACGACAGCATTGCTTACTCGGTTGTCTCACGATATACGAGCAATGCTTCTTAAACATCTATGATCGAATACTAGTAACCTACGAACATCTTCTACTCTTAACGGCCATGTTTCACAGCCATATAGGAGAACGGAGCGAACTGCTGAGCAGTACACCCGTCCTTTGGTTGGCGAACGGATATCTCGCCTACGCCATAAGTGACGTAGGTTGGCAAAAGCCAATCGAGCTTTCTGTATCCGAGCTGAGATTTCGTCAGTCACCAGACCGTCAGCACTGATGAGACTCCCCAGATAGGTGAAGCGATCAACACGCTCGACTACTTCACTCCCTATCACTAGTTCAGGTGCCAATGCAACCCAATATTGAAGCAACATTTTGCATTTCGAGGATGAGAACCGCATCCCGAATATGCTTGCATCGTTGCTTATGGTAGTCAGAAGACTCTGCATTTTGTCAGCGTCTTCACCAAGTAGGACAATGTCATCGGCATATTCTAGATCAGTAAGCGATTTTCCTGGCAGAAGGTCAACCCCTGGAAAATCTGACGAGCTTAATGTTAACTCTAAGAGGATGTCTACGACAAAGCTAAACAAGAATGGAGAGAGTGGACAGCCCTGACGGACACCACTTGATGTAGAGAATTCAGATGACAGTTGGCCAGAGGCTTTCACTCGACCAGTGGTGTTCGAGTAGAGAGCCTGTATAAGGTTAATGCATTTCTTTGGTACACCTTTCAATGACAAACACTGCCAAAGAACATCACGATCCACGGAGTCAAATGACGCTTTTAGATCCAGGAAGACAACTATTTTCGGACGTCTAAATGTGTGTCTGTGTTCCAGGACCTGTCGTAGTGTGAAAATTTGGTCTATACAGCCACGTCCAGGTCTGAAACCAGACTGGTTTTCTCGAGTCTGCTCTTCACGAGCTCTAGTTAGGCGGTTAAGTATAATGGAGGTTAAAAATTTAGAAACTATATTAGTTAGACTTATTCCCCTGTGATTGTTACAAGAGGACTTTTGTCCTTTCTTGTAGATTGGGACAATTAGCGACTGAGACCAGTCAGATGGGATTACATACAGTTTCCAGATTCTACCTAAGATCTCGGACAGTCTAACTGTTATAACTAGACCACCATACTTAAACATCTCAGGGGTAAGCCTATCAGGACCTGCCGCTCTACCTCTCCTTAGATTTCCTATAGCTTTCTCAACTTCATGTAGACTGGGAGGACTTGAATTGACTTGCCATTCAGGATGACTGGGGATCGTGGGCGACCGAAGTGTGGCTGAAGACCAGTTGAACTGATCCCTAAAGTGTTCTGCCCATCGATCCAGTCTCCTGGATTGAGAATAAATGATACAACCATCCTTTTCCGAGATAGTCTCACTCACATTCGGATTCCTAATACCGGTTTCTTTGATAAGGCGGAAAAGTTGTCTAGTGTTGCCTATCGCCGTCGCCTTTGGCACCGCTTTTGCTTTCGCCACCCACCACTGTTCGCGGTTGTTACGTAGGCTTTTTATCAGTCTGCGCCTAAGCTGACTACGCTCTTCATCATGTTCAGAGACAGGTGGGATGCGTTTTCGAGCATCTATCAGTTCGGTCGATGCGACTGAAATCTCCGGCTTCATCCTAACCTTATGGTTTACCTTGCTAGCAGATATCACTGCTGTTTCCACAGCCTTCTTGATATCATTCCAACCTGCCTCCGGATGGGAATCACTTGCATGGTCGCCTAACTGTTTTTCTAGTTCCTCCTGAAATATTTTCTTAGCTTGATTATCATCAAGTAAAGCCCTAAGAGGCTTCCTTACGGTGTCTTTCCTACATCCAGTAAGCCTCAAACAAATACGACCTCGCACTAGGGCATGATCTGAATCTAAACATGTGCCCCAGAACGGGCGGCAGACTTCTATCGAACCCCTCCATCGGTGGCTGATGGCGATATGATCTAGTTGCGTCCAACGTTGAGACGACTTCGGGGGTCGCCAGGTCAAAAGATGTTTTTCCTTATGCTTAAAATTAGTGTTTGCTAGAAATAGGCGGTCCAAAACTCTGAAAAAAAATTAGATCATCGTTATGACGCGCGGTGCCGAAATCTGAGAGCGATAAATTCTAATTCCAAAAAACTGTCTGCTTAAGAAAGAAAACATAGAGTAAAAATTTACTAGACTACTGCATAACATGAACAAATGCTACCGTACAAATATGTATTCACTTCTTTTCAAGAGAAGGCCATTTCTAAGCCAATAATATACACCCGTTCTTTTGGACATTTATTGATGGTCATACAGTGGCCTTCCCAACAAGTCACTTCTGATCAGTTAAGTATATCAATCACATCTTGTCAATGCTATTAGATTATTCATCACACTATCAGCTTGATTAGTAAAATTCGGTTACTACTGTAGACAAGACAAAATAACTTCACTGAAACTTAAACCTACCACTCACAAGAATCATGTCCTAAAGTTTGAACAACAAGTGGAGCAACAATTATTCACATAGTCCCAATCTCTTTATTTCCTATACGCCAATCTGACTAACAACAAATCCTTGAGATTTGAAGTTAGCTCATAGATAAGTGAATACTTCGTGCTAACTTATTATACTGTAGATTACTTACTGACGGCTGCTACCGCCAATGGAACATAGGCTGCCGATCAGCATTCTCCAACTTACTCTGTCCTGGGTTATACTGTATATCCCTAAAGTTAAATTTATTTCATATAAACTGTCTCCCATTCCCAAAGTATGCAAACATCCAATCCAAAATAAACTACAATGTAACTTTGTTCAGCAGTTATATGATATCCACACTAGTAAATTAAAGCATCAGTCTGAACGGAAGTTTCAACATCGATATTTCAACTGTCAGGAGGTTTGAAAGTCTATTCATTGAAATACAGAGATGGAGAATATGCTTTTTAATTTCCAACAAATCTTTCCACTTTAAAACAGAAACAAATTTTACGCATGAATATTGTCAGCCAACTGGATCGAATAAAATGTGAATTATCTCGAAGAATTTATCAACAGAAAAATTGGATCAAATCATATTTGTTATCCTATTCAAGCGATGTAAGTCTATTGGATAAGCCGAAATCTTATAACGAATATGCACAGGAAACCAATGACTGTATTTATAATTTATAAAATTGTAAACAAATTACTACCATTCTTCAAGACGATTTTAATAATAAAAATGTACCTTACTCCTTATACAGTCATATAGTGTTTAAATAATTGCATTGAATTATGCCCCTCTTTTCAGTCTACTAGTTAAATGTCCCGAGATCATGCATGTGACATTTAGAAAGACATTAACAGCATAGTTTATGTACAAGACTAAGCAAAAAAGCATGCTTGACTACGTAAAACCTTTAAGTTGATAATTTTCATAAGATACTATAGAAGTCGTCATTAAAACAGCAACCGTTTCCATTCACTCACTTAAAGTGTATAGATTCATGTACTTGAATCTGAGTTATATTTTCTGCGAGATTTAGTGATACTACGTAGTTATCCAAACGGAATTATATGGAATGAAGTTCAGACCTATGATTTAGTCGTTGAAAATCGAACGTATTATTCATTGAACCATTGCTCCACTCAATTGCCAGGTAAATGTTGTTGTACCCGGTACCGAGACACATGGTTAGTGTGAAAGCCAGTACCACTAGCTAGATTTTTATGCATGAAGATAACGAAGGGTTTAAATGTGTTACCTGGTTGAAATTTGAATGATTTAATCAATAATGGAGCGTTCCACTGTAGGCTGATAAGCAGCATGTGAATATTAAAAGCTCTGTTTATCAATGGCATGAAAGTTGACTTATACTGTCTGACCTATACTGTCTGCAGAAACATTTACTTTCAACAACAATATGAGTATCCCTCTGGACCATGTTGAAAACTAATCCTTATACCAAAACACATGACCAAGTGTTTACAACTATATCCTACATGAGACCAAAGGAAATTCATTATTCACAAACATCCTAATACAGCTAAAAACTTTCCTGTGTAAACTTCACTCCTAACCTTGATAAAAAGTAACCTGTCACTGAAAGCCCAACCGCATTTGAAACAAATAAACAACTTGACTAGTAATAAATGTATATGATTTCAAAAATATATACAATAGAAAAAGCAAAAAAGAAAAGTATCTATCTTTATGGAAAATTTACCAAAGGCTTCAACAAAAAATCGGACCAATTATTTACAGACACTGAATGCTCTTCCTGTAAAAAAATGGAAATAAGTACTTTGGAAGTTTCAATCAGGTTTTAAAATATTTTCTAAAATGAATTACGAAATAGTCTATAACCCACTTATTTTAGTGGAAAAAGTTGACAGTTGGCCAGTTTTTTATGACATGACATGGAATAGAAAGTAGCATCCATTGGTTAATCTCGGCCCCCTGATAGTAGTCTTAAAGATTCTTCAACCGATACTAACAGATATGGCTCATAATAGAAGCCAGTGACGATGTCAATGTAATTTTCGACTCTACTTTCTAGACCGCATTTAGTCTTTTTTGACGGTAATTTTAACTGAACGGCACCTCTTACTAAATAATGTTTTTTATTGGTATTTTTCGGCTGTACAGACTTCTTACTTTTATTTTCTCATAATATTATCACTTCAGTTGTAAAGCCCATTTTTCATGCCTTATATCACTGTTACCTTATAGAGTAAAGCACAAACTGACTGACTGACTGCACAAACTAGATGGTCAACAAATGGTTATTAATGCTGTCCTAGAAAGCTGGCAGTTTGTGTAGTTTGCATACATGAAGAAGCATTTATTTTGCTATACTAAGCATACATTAGAGAAAACCAAAACAGTGGTTCCCTTTGATAAATTTGAACAGAGAAATTTCTCTGTTCAAATTAGAGAAAACGATCAGAAAGAGTAAAATACGTTGCCAAATGTAAAAGAACATCAAGACTCCTTACTCAAAAAAATGGTTATTCAAGCATTAAACCCATGTCCTTTCCTAATGTGAATAAACTAGAAAATCATTTGACTAGTTTTTACGCTTCGAAATTTCCTAAATCTGTAAACGTATTCATAGAACCTGGATGTACGCAAGAACAAACCTTGAAGTAGTCATTCGTGACTCTAACGTCATCCAACCTATCTAAGATTTACATTAATAGGAGCTTTCAATTAAGGGGTCAATTGGGCTAATAACGTAGTTAGTACTCGATCTCAAAATATAATATTCACTAATTCGCAAGGTGAAATAAAAATTGGTAAGTACTTACATTGAATAAAACATGGTAAACGAATGGCTGGTTGTATACAGTGATACCACCTTGATAAATACAAAGAGTAGCCAAACGATCATAAATGAGACACGTCAGTTTGTCAAGAGTTTGACCTTCGATCACAAGTTTGGTTGAACAGTTTAAACTAGATGTTACACGACAAAGTCTCAAAAGCATGCCGAATCCCTGATGATAAGAGTCAATAAGATCTTGATCCGAAGAACCCTGAATATTAGGGTTGATGTTTATACGACTGGAAGAATCCTCACTACTAGATAAAGATGGTTTTGATGAGAGATTTGTTGCTCGGAGATATATATTTGACAATGAATCCCATAATTCATCAATCTAGAATGCACAATAACTAAGGAAATGATATGTACAAATACTAAAGCTTAGAAAGTAATTACTATACTAAAATCGACAATTCGCGATCACGCACTTGATATTCCATTCTTTAGAGATTCTTTTAGGTGGGTGGGTAATAACCGGAATCATCATAGATAGGTTACTCAAAATGTACATAAAAACCAGTCTACCTGTGAAGAGTCATAATGAGCCCCCATAGTAACTGGTAACTACAATGAGGATATACGAAACTTGTTCTACTAAGATCCTAGAACCTGTATGGAGGAATGTTGTTTCTTAGTTTTGAGACTCTCGAAAAAACCCTTAATATCGGTCGACCTGTGTTCATTTCCATGCTCTCGATCTCAAGGAAACACCGCTACGTGATGCCACAGACTATTAATTCTTGAGATGTGTTAAATGCTGAAACGTGTAAGAAATGACTCTTACTACATTCTTATTTACCAGAAGATTTGAGGAGAAAATAATAAATTTGTTCCTAATTCATTTGAATCCATATTATTACGGTGGACCTACAGCACAGATTCTCATGGTTAACTAAGCAAGATCAACATCATTAAAAGATTTCGACAGGTATAACTAAGACAATATCTGTATGAAAAATCAGTAGACAATTTTAATAACTTACAATATATTTTACAAAAGTATTATATTGTTGCACATTTTTCGATTTTATTACGAATAAAAATTGCACTCCAACATTGAAATAATTCATCTTTTCATGAACTAGCCCGCTGATAGTCAAACTATATGCCAATCTAATCCAGTCGAATAAAAAGTGAGCTGGGTCGAACTTGGACATATTATGAGGAAATTCGCCAGATAAATATGTTACCCAAAAGTTAGTTAACATCTCAAGTCGATTGATAAGCTCTGTTTGAGAAATCAAATATTTGCCATCTACGTGAAATTAAAAGACAAAAATCACAACACTAATGATGAACCATAATCTAAATAAACCACAAATTACGAATAACCTCAGTCAAGATCGCTATAATTTGAAAAAACGTTAAAAATGAGGGAGCTCACTGAAGCTTTCTTGTCGTCTTGGCACAGCTTCAACAGCAAGCTTGACTTTGAATTCTAGTCATCAATTAATAAGATTGCTCTTATTCAAAACCACAAAGCAAGAATAATAGTTAGCCCGTGGGACATGAGGGATAAAACGCTTACAGAGCACTTCTTAATCGTAATGATGAGTGGCATGAAACTATTGTTTGAAATAATCAACTTTTAAACATTGGGTAACATATATCCTACTCCACCTACTTAGGTTTTATTATCAGGGTAATACCTTTAGGGCTCGTGAGGGGAAACTATCACATTATCCGAAGACGTTTTATGTCAAACAGTTTTCATAAAATATTTAAGACCTCAGACAGAACAACCACAAATACACAAAGTAGCTTACCCTCTGAAATATCTAACTTCAAAGATAGTATAGGTTGATAAAAATGTGAAAAAAGCTGTCGAAAGACAACATAATCACACTTTTCCTTTAAGTAATCTATTAATCACAAGAGAACAGGAGGTCAAACCTTGATAATCGAAATTAACAACCCCAAAGTATGCATGTCCAATTCATTATTTGTGACAAATAAGTTTGCCCACAAAAGGGAGGACAAACAGGTATAAAAGTCAATATTCGCCTTGATAAAATGTGTCTAAAGGATACTTAAATGACAGGAAATATGACTTACATCTAAAAATTCGCGCATCAATTTGCACGCCGTTGACGGTTGTACCATTGCAAATTTCACATCTTTAACAAAATCTTCCCACAGCTTTGCTACACTCTGCACATCATGAACACCTATGCCAACATTACATTAATCAGAAGCTACCACTTAAAGGGAGGATAGTATGATCGTGATTGAGTATCTTTGCATTTTCTTAGTACATTTGCATTCAAACAAGTTACCTGGTGGAGTAGTTCAACCGTACAGTTCCAAGGTTTATTAGTAAACTGTATGCCTTTAGGGAACATCTTACGCTGCTGGAAGATGAGGAAATTTATTCAAATACATAACATATGTTTACTTTAAAGATAACTTTTGATAAACAAATTGTTCTAGATGACTGACTAGTAGTTTAGAATATAAACAGTATACTCATAAACTCATCGTATAAAGCCATCATTTTTTGTCCTAAAGGAACAAGATAGAAGGAGAAAGTTCCAGTAACCAATATTTTTCACGAGCTCGTATAAACCAAATGAGTAATTGGCGCTCGACTCCTGTTCTTACGGTACGGTTACAGGTATTTATGTTCAATGGAAGGTAGTCTCGAAACTAAATTGCACTAATTCTAGTCAGTTGGTTGTTATTATTGAATTTGTGAGTTACGTGATTCGAATGAGTGCGTTCGTTTCATTGCAGTAGGGTTTCTTGATACCGACAGCTATCGCTCAACCATGCTGGAGATCAATAACTTGCAATGTGGAGAATAATATGAGGAAAATTCTAATGCTAATAAGAAAAATATTTCATAACTATGTAAATAAATGTGTAGATAAGTCAATTAATTGGTAGTAAAGATTGTGTGAGGGGACCGAATAGTAAACGAGGGAAAGGAATAAGAGATAATTTGCAAGGTAAATTAAGTTAGTGATCTGGGGGAATGACAATAATAACGACTAGCAGGTTTCGAGACATCCGTCCGACACAGCTGGTTCAAAAGTGAGATAATAACTCTTACATGAATACCTGTTTGTCAAGTCACTTCCTGAAGCCACTCATTGAGGAGTCTCTAACCACTTCGGCTGGGAGAGCATTCCAAGTAGAGACAATTGTTGGTGAGTAAAAGCGTGCAGGAACCTGGGTATTCGCTCTCTGATATGCATTTTTTTGAGATAAACCCCAAAGGGTGTGTTAGTGATTTTTTCAAGATGCTAGTTGTTGTAACGCTTGCTTAAATAATTCCCGGCTAATTCCTATTGCTTAGTATTTTCTGACTACAATACACTGGACAAGTTCCAAAGGATCAAAAACACCGTTGAACAAGAAAAGATTATACTCCAGAGAGCAAGGTTAAATGTAAATAAGAAGATCAAGGTGGTGGCGAAGGCGAAGGCAAAAATAGATACAACGTTAGTTTATTTATTGCATTTGCATGACAAGCTTCTGGATAGAAATTCACGTGATCGACTGGATTAGATTTAGCCAATCAGCATGCAGCTAACAATACGAGAATTTTCTACCCTGTTCTCCAAGAATCAATCAGGCGCTGATCGGATAGGAAATTAGCCAATCAGCAACGTAGTCATGCTCTTATTCCATCTATGTCCCACTAACACTAATGTTAAGATGCCGTTATTAGATAACCTCTGGTTCTACTGCAACTCGGAGTCGATAACCCACGTATTTGAGTCTGCCTTCGTATGGTTAATTCTCTACTCCTATCACTCATTTAGTTGCCCACCTCTACACTTAATCCAGGAGACGGACGTCCCTTTGAAACAGAGCGAGTGAAAACTTCAAAGTTCGGCCGTGAGTATGTGTTGAGGAGAGTTGATCACAAGTTGAGGGGTGGCTAACTCCGCCAGTAGAACCTTAGGGGCTGCTGCCGGTCCCAAGCCCCAGTAAAGGAGGAGGGTTGGACATGGGGTTGGCGACCCCATTCCGTCAAAAACTAACTTGCCATAAAAACGCTAACCAGAAAAACTAATTCAAACCATTTTAACTCTGCCCTCGGAGTTGGAAGAAGAATTATGACGTCGCGTGATGAAAGCCGAGTTTCCTCGGATGTCACAGGGCCGATGCCTCTTCTGACAACCAGAGCAACCATTTTTTTAGGAACATGGAAAGTTCGTACATTGTGGGAGACTGGAAGACTATTTCAAGTTGCGGCAGAAATGAAAAGATACAACCTCGAGATGCTTGGAATCAGTGAAACACATTGGACACAAGTAGGACAACTGATACTAGCTTCAGGGGAACTGCTGTTGTACTCTGGTCATGAAGAGGAAAATGCTTCACATACACAAGGAGTTGCACTGATGTTGTCCAAACATGCACAAAAGGCACTAATAGGATGGGAATCTCATGGACCCAGGATCATTAAAGCATCCTTCAAAACAAAGAAAGCGGACATTACAATGAACCTCATCCAATGCTATGCACCTACCAATGACTACAATGACGACGTTAAAGATCAATTCTACGAAAGGCTGCAGTCAATCGTCGAGAAATGTTCACCAAAGGATTTGACGATTCTTATGGGAGACCTGAATGCCAAGGTTGGAATGGACAACACTGGATATGAAGACATCATGGGACGACATGGACTGGGCGAAAGAAACGAAAATGGTGAGAGATTTACAAACCTATGTGCCTTCAACAAACTGGTCATCTGTGGCACAATATTCCCGCACAAGCGCATACACAAAGCCACATGGATTTCACCGGACCACACTACTCAAAACCAAATCGACCATATCTGTAACAACAAAACGTTCCAAAGGACTATGAAGGATGTGAGAACCAGGAGAGGAGCTGATATAGTCTCAGATCACCATTTGCTGATGTCCAAAATGAAACTGAAACTAAAGAAGCACTGGACAACGGGGCAGACAACATCGCACAAGTTTAATACGGCCTTTCTTTGGGATACTGTAAAGCTCAATGAATTGAGGATAGCCCTCACCAATAGGTTCCAGGCCTTGCAGGATCTACTCAATGGAGAGGACGCAACGTTGGAGAGCAATTGGAAAGGGATTAAGGAGGCAATCAATTCAACATGTCACGAAATTCTGGGTCACAAGAAGTACCATCACAAGGAATGGATCTCTGTTGGTACTCTTAAAAAAATTGAAGAAAGGAGGAACAAGAAGGCAGTAATCAACGTCAGCCGGACAAGAGCAGAGAAAGTTGCCGCACAAGCTGAATACACAGAAGCAAACAGGCAAGTGAAGAGCTGACAAACGAAAATATGTGGAAGATCTAGCAACGACGGCGGAGAAGGCTGCAAGAGACGGAAACTGGAGACAATTGTATGAAACAACAAAGAAGCTCGCCGGAAACTATCGTAAACCAGAACGGCCAGTGAAAAGCAAGGAAAGCAAAGTAATCAGTAACATTGAAGAACAACGAAACAGGTGGGTACAGCACTTTAAGGAACTCTTGAATCGACCAGCTCCACTGAACACACCCAACATCGAAGCAGCATCCAAGGACCTCCCAATTAATAATATCTCAGCTACAATAGAAGAGATCAGTATGGCCATCAGACAAATCAAGAGTGGCAAAGCAGCAGGACCAGACAACATTCCAGCAGAGGCAATGAAAGCAGATGTAGAAGCAACTGCGAAAATATTTCACAATCTCTTCAAGAAGATTTGGGATGAGGAACAAGTACCATCAGATTGGAAAGAAGGATACCTCATCAAAATACAAAAGAAAAGCGATCTCAGCAAGTGTGAGAACTACAGAGGCATCACTCTTCTTTCAATACCAGGCAAAGTCTTTAACAGGGTATTGTTAAACAGAATGAAACACTTTGTAGACGCCAAGCTTCGAGATCAACAGGCCGGATTTCGTAAGGATCGATCGTGTAATGACCAAATTGCTACATTACGGATCATTGTGGAGCAATCAATTGGATGGAACTCATCACTCTACATCAACTTCATCGACTACGAGAAAGCATTCGATAGCGTGGATAGGAAAACGCTGTGGTGGCTATAGATGAATTTTCTACCCTAGCAGTTCACCTTGGTTCCAGTAGGTGTATGTTGAACGCGCTATCCCCCAATCCAATATCAAAACACAATAATTCTAGGAGAAAGCGGTCTATATTTATTATAAAATGGAAATACAAACAGTTACCTAACGATTAATACACCTTCCAACTCCAAATTACCCTGATGGGTATCCGATTCCAAAAGAATAAGTGTTACTGGTTCTTACTGCTACGGTATTAAATCCAAATATGGCTGTAGCCATATTAAATATCAAATTTAAACAACATATGTACAGTTCAGAAGCAAACATAAAAACTCCAATATAAGTACAAAATATAGAAATAATAACAATACACAATGATAAAATCTAAAAATGGAATCAAATGGAGTACCAAAATGTCAACAGAAAGAGTCAGTCATATCATAACACAAATATATATACATGGAGGGATTTTCCAAAAAACAAAACATTCAAAAAAGATTCTACAGAGGCTTCTTTGACACTATGGTGTGCCTGAGAAAATAATTAACATCATACGGAATTCTTATGGTGGATTCAACTGCATAATCGTGCACGAAGGACAGCTGAAAGACTCTTTCGAGGTGAAGACCGGTGTCAGGCAAGGTTGCTTACTCTCACCCTTTCTCTTTCTCCTGGTCATCGACTGGATTATGAAAACGTCAACATCTTAAGGGAAGCACGGTATCAACTGGACAGTTATGACGCAGCTGGACGATCTAGACTTCGCAGATGACCTGGCTCTTCTATCGCACACTCAACAACAAATGCAAGAGAAGACGACCAGTGTAGCAGAAGCATCAGCAGCAGTAGGTCTCAACATACATAAAGGAAAGAGCAAAATTCTCCGATGCAACACAACATGCACCAACCAAATCACTCTTGATGGAGATGCCTTGGAAGACGTTAACACCTTTACATATCTGGGCAGCATCATCGACAATCAAGGTGGATCCGATGCAGATGTGAGGGTGCGGATCGGCAAAGCAAGGGCTGCATTTCTACAGTTGAAAAATATCTGGAACTCCAAACTACTTTCAACCAAAACCAAAATCACGATTTTCAATACAAATGTCAAGACAGTTCTACTGTATGGAGCGGAAACTTGGAAAACTACGAAAGGCATCATCCAGAAGATACAAGTGTTTATTAACAGTTGTCTACGCAATATACTTCGTATTCGTTGGTCAGACACCATCAGCAACAACGTACTGTGGGAGAGAACAAACCAGATTCCAGTGGAGGAGGAAATCAGGAAGAAGCGGTGGAAGTGGATAGGACACACACTACGAAAAGCACTGCGTCACGAGACAAGCCCTCACATGGTACCTTGAAGGCAAAAGGAAAAGAGGAAGGCCAAAGAAATAGAGAAAGACATGAGAAGAATGAACAAACATTGGACAGAACTGGAGAGAGAAGCCCAGGGCAGAGTTGGTTGGAGAAAACTGGTGGGCGGCCTATGCTACACTGAGGGTAACAGGCGTAAGTAAGTAAGTAAGTAAGTAAGTAAGTACACTCGCCTTCCGCTTGCTTGGTTGCCATTCTGCTCCTGGTGCTCTGTAAATTTTCGCCCATTTTTTCTGGCACGATTTTGGTATTGCCAATAAATATATGTCTGGATAATTTCTTTTTCCCTTGCTTTTGGCCAATGACAGGACGACGCGTGACTGATTTGTAGTGATGTACATAGTCTACACTGACTACTTTCACTACAACACACTACTGACTGTTAAAACAGAACAAGTAACAATATACAATGTTTTGGCCACCGAATAAGACCCAATAGATTGAGTAGTCACATCATGACTCGTCTACAAAATTGTCATAGACCTCCTATAAAAGTGGAATAGATATTGATGACTCAGAAACCGTCAGTTTGGGGGTCTTGCAAAAATCCCATTTAGACACGAAAAACCTAGGCCAATAAGATTTTCGTTAGGCGAGGTGTTTATGTGAACACATATTTTTGGTTAGCAGTAATCAGTATATCACGTAAACATTGGTTAGGAATAGTGTTAATCACTTCAACCAAGTTATCTAACCAACACAGTGGTTGTGCATATTTGGTGAAGTTGGGAGATATTACAAATAATGATGAAAATTACTTACAAACTAGGTCTGCTTCAACCATCTCCATATAGCTAACTTGTCTCCGGGCAGAGAATGTGACATCTGTTGGTATCCAGAACCTGTAACACGCAGAGACAAATGCACTCACTCGAATTACAAGATACACTGAAATAACAAGTAGTGAGAGCAGAAAAATCAATCAGTTCACACAAGCTAATAACAAAGATTATGAATATTCGAGAATATGGAGCAGTTTGTTTTTTAGTAAATGTGCCTGGACGTAAGAGAGTCTCCTTTGTTTTCAAATGCACTGAACTCATGCATAACAACACACAATATGGAAAGGAACTAGATGAATTTTATGAAATTCACAAACAAATCTAAGACAGAATATGAACTTTTGTTCTGTTGTCTCAACTTGTAGGTTGTAATAAAAAGGCGCTTGCTTCGTTGTTTGTGCTACACGCGAATGAGATAACGATATGAAGGCTCCAGAAGGTTTTCGTCTACCAAATCCCATAGATTTCGAGTCTCACCCTCCACCAGAGTTACCAAAATATCTGAAGCACCAAGTTTATGATAAACCTGAGGTCTTTGCGAAAGTAGACAATCATGCGATTCAGGTGCGTGTCGTGAAGGTAGATATGTACACAAAACTGTATCTTTTGCTTTTTATACTAGACTATCATTTCTTGTTTGTATTTTTCAGGTTGCGGGATACCAGCATCCAACGTTTAGGGACCTGATGTGGGATTTACTATATCGATACAAATTAGATGAACTAGAAAGAGCTCGTGTAATATTTCGCTGGATGACTGCGAAGGACATGCAGAATATCCACTTTGAAAATGTTCCCCCTAATTCTCCAGAAGATGTTCTCATGTCATTCAGCACTAACCGTGGCACGTTTTCCAGGATGTACGAAGTAATGTGCAGGTAGGTGTTTAAAATACCCATATTTTGCCAGTTATTCCGAAATTCACTGTGTCACGGTTAGTGGATATGCCAAAGGTGTTGATTACCTTCCCGGTGACAAATTTTCTGGTCTTCCCCCTAATCATTCATGGAATGTTATATATATTCGGGGATCCTGGCAGCTTGTTGATGTTCATTGGGCGGCTCGATACCTTAGTTCTGGAAAAAATGTTCCTGAAAATGTTGTCTATGAATATGATGACTTTTACTTTATGATGGAGCCCCAACAGGTTTGTTCAATAAGTTTTCATCAAATATTTTTCACCGGCCTGACCAGCATACTAGTAATTTCTTATTTTATCATTCGATCCCTAATACCTAGTGATATTCTTACTGTGGCTTATTTCTCTTCGAATTTCGGTTTCAAAAATATGCCGTGCTAGTTAGTTGGATTTTTAGGGCTCTTAAAATCAGTATTAAAACTTTCAGGCCATGCTTACTATGAAGCATCTGCCACTGATGGTCGGTGAAGAGAATAATAGATTTGATGTCATGTATTTTGGGATGAACATAGTTTAATCATTAATATTTTTTAGCCTTATCACTACAGTCAAGCATATCTCAGGTTACGAATTGTCATATCCCACCAGTCCATTTTCCGATTTAGAATGTTGCCATCGTCCCGAATACCCGAAAGGATGCAAGCCAACTATATGATGAACTGTACAATAATTTTATTTACTAATACAATAAATCAAACAGTTGGAGAAAATTTAAAACTGAAACCTAACGCTAACTAATCTTGACAGTAACTAGCTCGAAATTTACACTCAACTTGCGTAGAAATTCCTCTAACTGTATATTTGTTAGGCTCAGCAGTCCAGTTAGTAATCACACCACTTTAGATAAGGTTGAACTAAGGCCCCTAACAATATCAATCATGAAGGAGCTACAAGAACGAACGATTTATCATGGGAAGGATTTTACATTAGATCTATCAATCTCACTTTACGTAGCTCCAACGATGTTTATGTGGACTATTGTAGAAAGGCCCACAATGTAATGCTTGTGGACAACTGTAGTGTGATAACATTTGCACTCAGTCACCTATTAGTCTATCAGTTATCCGCATATTGTGCTGTACCAGACAGTACGTATTCTTAGATGAGTGGTACTAAATTGTTAGCTCAGCGACTATCTATCTTTCCAACCTTCGCCTTGTTTTTAATCCTGGATTCCGCTCATCAATATTTAGATTGTGTTATTAAATTTTTTTATTGTTATTACGCTCTCCAATCATTGCCAGTAGAAGAAAAAGCTTTATCATAAACTTTTCAATTAAGGTAGCTTTTAATAAATAAAAGCTTTAAAATATGTTCAACTTATTATTTTAATCATCAATTCATCTTGTTTATTGCAAGTTAAAAAAAGTTTCGGTCAAGTATGTCTGTTATTGAAAGGAGTGTCAAAGACGTACGCTAACCTAGTACAGACTCTCTACTCAAACACTATTGGTAGAATGAGAGCTTATGGCGAATAGATTACTTCCTCAGTCTTATTTAACTTTGTCATCAATATCTTTTTAGAGATGACACCTTCACCGTATGACTTTTCAGGAGTTAACTTTCTACGAGGAAATTATTTTTTGACTTGGAATATGCAGAGGACACAGTTCTATTTGGTGAAAACGCTGACAACATGGAGAGTTGTCTGACCAAACTAAGCATCAATGCAGGCATGTTCAAGATAAAATTCCCCTCCTCAAAATGCAAAAGTGTTGCTTTAGTATTGGCTTGCATCAGCACCCGAGCTAGTGATAGGGAGTGAAGCAGTTGAGCGTATTGACCACTTCACTTATCTTGACAGCCTCATCACTACAGATGTCCTGGTGTCTAACGAGATCTCAGCGCGGATACAGAAGTCTCGATTGGCTTTCGCCAACTTGCGTCACTTATGGTGGAGGAGAGATATCCGTCTACTAACCAAACGACGAGTCTACTGCGCAAGAGTTCTCTCCGTCCTACTATGTTGGTGTGGAACATGGCCAGTAAGAATAGAGAACATTCGTAGTTTATTAGCTTTCGATCGTAAGTGTCTCCGAAGCATCGCCTGTGTATCCTGAGACAACTGAGTAAGCAATACTGTTGTCAGGAGACGGGTACTAAATACAGATGGTAGATCAATTGATGTGGTAGTGAATGTTCATCAGTTGAGGTGGTTGTAGCATGTGTTACGTACGCTTAACCACCGACTACGTTGACGAGTTATGCTGTCTGATGTAAGAGTAGGCTGGAAGGAAGCTAGCGGTGGCCAAACCAAAACAACACATCCATTAAGCCACTGACAACTGGACTGAGCCATGTTAGTAAGCGTATACTACGTGGTTCGGGTCCGGGAGATAATAGTAACCGATGGTTAAGGACTAAATGAAATGGCTCAAAATTGTTTGCTATCGCGCAGGTGCATCTCTGCCTCGTCTTTCCCCAAATTCTGGTCTTCTTGATTCGTCATGTGGTATGGCAGCACGAACTTATGTACGTACGTACGAAGTTCTACGTTGCAACTGACTGACTGACTGATTCATCATGATTGTTTTTTCTCATTTGAAATCGACTTCACTGGATTATACTTCTTGAATAATATCTTTAAGCCTTGATCTTTTTGATCACCGCAAATACTTCTACTACATCCAACACTATGAGAATTGAATTGACAACTGTATCTCTGTGCCAATGTGGTATGGTAACTTGAACTGATGTACGTACGAACGAAGTTCTACGTTGTAGCTGACCGATAAGTAGTAATGCTATGATTGCAAAAACCAATGGTTCCTTGACCTACATTATGAAAACTACAACTCACTTACCATCCTCTAATGAACTGTATACTATTTATCTCGGTCTTACAATTAAACATAAAATCAATACCAATTAATCGATTTAAGTTGACTAACATTATGTATCCAGATTTAGTGTTATTTCTTCAACAGTAAAAGATGAATAAGGTGAACAAAAGCGCTGATTAGCCGATTAGTCATCAAAACTAATTATGTACATATAAGGAGAAAAATGGGGGATGTGGTTGTTATTTTGTACTAAACGCAACACCAAACGCAAAGAAAAACGTAATACAAGCATTTTGGTACCAAAAATCAGGTTAGATGAGACTCGACTGACAACTTAGAAAGCTGCCTTTGCATAAACGGTATAGGCGATGTCAACCTTGTGTTAGGATAAAACTTCTGTCCCATTATTGTGTACTATTTTATGCAGGTTGTGGTTTAGTGCAATTCATTTCATTGGGTAGTGTCCTAAAATACACTTACAACCGTATATAGTAGTGCACCGTTGCACACTACAGTTTTCCGGATTATCTTCACATTGGTACGGCTTCTGAATGTATTATTGTAAAGTCTCATGAATCTAAAATAGGTATCATTTCTTCCTGTGTTAAACATATGTGACCAAATCAGCCTAATTTTCTGAAATCAAGGTTTTTATTTAAATAGCATGGTGGGATTCATTGGTGAGTGGTAGTTTAAAATCTCATTATTCTTTACATTGATTAATAATTGTTCTGCTAGAATTACTTGTAGCCCTTTCGTATCGTAAATTTTATCTGACTTTTCTTTAGGCTGTTTACAGCCATTTTCCAGAAGATCAGAGATGGCAGTTGTTGCCTGCTCCACTCACACTTTCCCAATTCGAAAATTTACCACTTACGAAGTCTCAATTTTTCAAATGTGCAATCGATTTCTTACAACAACATCACGGTGTTGTTCGAACTCAGGATGGTTGTCTCAGAATGACACTAGGTTTTTGGCGTCCTGGTGGTTTCACTTATAAATTACAGTATTTGGTAACCAGCTACAATAATCCCGACCCTGATTCACTTACTGCGTATCCAAGTGAACTAACGGATCGAGTTCCGAATCTGAATGTTGATTTGAAGTGTTTTGTTTTACAAGAAACAACGAAAGACCATTTAAATTTTTTCTTTCGACTTCCGGCTTCTGGAATTTACTACCTCACCATATATGCTCAGGTAAGTTCTGAATAGTTGTTTATGAACTGTCCAGATGAATATATCTTTTGATGTTGTAATTGTAAAGCAACTGCATTCTGTGTTCTCTAAACCATCATAAGAAACCCTTTATCATTTTGGATAAAAAGATTATTAAAATCTTAATATCATCACTTTCCTGAGATTGTGGTTTAAAAATAATGAAATGAATGTTCATCACACAGTCCTAGAATAAACCTGATGTTCAGTCACGTTCGTTAGCTGTTATACTTGATTTGGCATCCTAAACAGACCAGATGCTCTGTTGATGTTTTTGTGTTAAGAGTTCTCTGTTTTGACTGATAATTTAGATCACGAGTTTCAGTATTTTTTCATACCATCCAGTTCTCAATGATAAGTTACTTCATTCTTAATCATTAACATCTATATCCCCCCGAATTCTTAAATCTTTTTCAACACACATCTTTTTCGGTGTTAAGAGTAAAAACAACCCAATATGAGAAGTAGTTGATTGGTTCAACTTTTCTGTGTTCATTTTCTTTAATGTGAGTCATTGTTTGAAAAACTCAGTCTATTTAATCAGCTTTGAGCCGCTTAGTTAATATGGGAGCTAGTGATACTACTAGACTGTTCATACTAAAGTTTATGAAGCGAGATATATACTTGCGACCTACTTGTTGGAAACCAAGTACTTAGATGACCAAACTGCAGCTTTGAGTGTTAGCACTCATATAACCACTCACTTAATACCTTTAACTCTAAGCTTAAGAATGGTTTAACTACCGTAGAAGCATTTATTCTAGAATTTCATGTATTTCATGCAACTTGATACATTTCTTATACAGATATGTAACCTTACATTTTTGAAAAATGTATTCTACCAGGCAGTTTGTTTTAATATCAGTTCATTTTGGAGCTTACACGAGTAAAATGGTTCTCGTGAGCGACCATCATTTGTCCGATTTGTATCATTGTATATCATATATCGGTTAGTACTAGATCCATTCACTCAGTAATCCTAAAACTCATTCATATAATCCTTCTTCATAACATTTACATTTGTTCCGAGTACTATTTTCAAGTAGTTTTGTGTTCACGTTTTGCACATTAATCGTAAAGTTTTTTGATTACATGTTTTTGAGCCTTCACATATTTCTGAATCTGGTTAGTTCATTAAATACTTTTTCCTACAGATTTAGGTTTATTTCCTTTTATAGTTAATCAGTTTACTGATGTGTCTAATTCATTTTTTTCGAGTGATTTTTTGTCGAAACAATCGATACTTCTTAAAGCTCACTTTCCCCATAACTCCATAGGAACTGTCGAGTTTAACTGTTGGTCGCGAAAGTACCTTCCGAGCCGCTTGCGAATATAAAATAATTTGTGACTCACCAGCTCGAGATGCTCAACCCTACCCAATTTGTCATGATGTTAATTGGGGACCAGCTTGGTCTCATGTGAATCATTATGCTCTTGAACCGAGTCATACAGAGGGTGTGATCAGTATACCTAGCGAACTAGATTCCTCAATTAATTCCAACGGACATCATGCACCATTACCAAAAACGGTTGATATACGGTTTCAAAAAAATCGACCTGAGGTTAATTTACTAGCAAAACTTCATCGAAATGGAGTGGCAGATGACTTTCTTGATCAGTATCAACGTGTCACAGAGACAGTACGTGAAACCTTATTTCATGTTACCCTGCCTGAACCTGGTAAGTTTTGTTAGCTATTTTTCTAATTCATTATTATCATTCGAATTATTCATAAATGTCAGTAAACAAAAGCTTCATTGTTCAAATTTGCCGAAAACGAAACTGTCGTATATGACATGTTCTAAATATCAGTATGGTCGATTCAATGCCTAATTAAAGTTGACGAATATAATGAAAAAGTATGAATGCAGACGGCTTCTTATAAACTTTATTTCACTTTTCACTATAGTATCAATATATCTTGTTTTAAGTGAGTAGCAGAGAATCTATCTAAACTCACGTTGATTGACAAATTAATTTTGACACTATACTAATTATTAACAATCACGTGTATTTCACTTAGCTTCCACCTAATTTGTACTTCAACTGCATAGTTCTTCAGTCTGAGTCAATTTCATTCCGCAACTAAAATTGTATTGACATTTTCATATAAATTTAGGACTAAAGACGAACTTCTGTTTATCTTAGTTAATTTTTAATTAGTCAACCTAACACAAGCTAGTAAACATTGATTATTGGTAGTTTGATTTAACACTTCAGACCACTTGATGATACGATACTGTTCATATACGATTATTGCCGATTATAATGTAGTAAATACAATCCTGTATGTACTGAACAACAGTTTCATCTTAATTCAATTTAAAATGGTTTGGATTATTCTGTTGTTGAGAATTCAACTGAAATTTGGGTTCCATTCCTGGAGTGAACATCAACTCTGAGATGCAAGTACGCTTAACCGACAAGTCTCAAATAGAACGAAATGCATGTTCGGGATTCCACTACTATCCATATTCTATCTATTCTATGTTTAATCTTAGTTTGGAATTCTTCGTCAGAAGCAATCATAACATTTCATATTTCATCAAGAGCACAATACTTTCACCAAACATTGAGTCCAAATCCAATATACCATATTGTTAACATCAACAAGTCTATAATAAATCCTTATCATGATCGAACTTCCAACAACATGTAACACTGCAATGTAGTTAGTGTGAAAACTTAATGTGTACACTTGAATGACTCTACATTTAATATGTTTCTAACTAGATACTCTGGTTAATACCTAGATCAATGACTTCATTGAGTTAATTATTCTACAATTACACATGGATAATTGTTGTTGGTTTGTGTATGCTTTTTCATTGATAGTTTATTCCGAATTGTTTGATCCAATTGTAAATAATATGTTGTGATAATTAAAGTTGGTGATTATCGCTTTATCATGTGTTGAGAGAAATAAACAGAGGACAACATTGAATTATAATTTGCATATAGCAGGCCAGTTGTAAAAAAGAGATAGAGAGTACTTTTAAGTATACCAATTTTTCGGACATCATTGAACATTAGTGAATGAATTGAAGCTTTTTTTTTGTTTTATTGTTTTGTCCTTCATTCAATAACCAATGTGAAATGCTGAGCTATGGAAACATATACTGCTAATTAGTTGTTATGACAAAGTTTTTCCCTTTTCGATCCATGAAGCAAATAAACATTTCAGGTGACGTATATTGATTGTAGCCAAATGATAATATTTACGATGTTTACATACCTAACCATACTTTTATTACTGTTTTCCATCGAAAATCGATGTTATTATATGGAAAAATATATTATTTATCAAGATTTTATGAGATCAAACTCCACCTTCTTCGATAGATATTGTTTACTGGTATATAAATAGGTTGGTAAAAGGCTAGAGAGAGAATAAACTAAAACATTAAAATATATTTATTGTTTGACTGGGTCGTATTGGTAGGTGCAGACTACTAGGTTAGCATCCTTGCGATCATCTAAACTAGTGGTTTGAGACGTTGATACTGCAGATTGAACCAATACACATCTAATCCAGGCTTCCTATCGATAACGACTGACTGAGAGCTTCTAGTGTTTACTAATATGTGGAGCCCACATTGGCTTGTCCCCAGCCTTTGGCCAAACTAATTAATCCAACCTCCAGTTGTTATTCACATGTCTTTTGACCTTGTCTACTTTTCGTTTATAATCTTGGTTGTTTTTACTTAAGTGCGTATGTGTAGTGCTTATTTTGCTTATCACATGCATGTACAGTTTATTTTTGTGTAACTGTAGATACATAGTCTGTTTCATCGCATTCAGTTGACCATCTCACCTTCTCCGGTTCACTTTGTTTCGCTCTACGTTCTACTGTTTGTCTGCTCACGTAAATTTATGAAATAAATTCATCCACATAGGGCTCCATTGAGCTTTTACTAGCCGCCGTTACACAAACGAGGTTCGCCTAAGAATGATATATGAAAATTGAAGGGAAGATTTATAGAATGTTCAATCTTCCCTCTAAATTGGAATCAGATTCTGCGCCATTAAAAGCTTACATGAGGGCACGATATATCAGTGTGACCTTAGCTTAGTAATTAAAGTGCTTATCTTTCAACCGAACTGGTCATAGATTCTGTTTTGTCCTCACATTGACCAATAAGCGGAGACGACCTTCGAGCAACCAATAACAACAAGAACGAAGAAACTGTCAGTCTATGCTTAACAATTGACCCAATGCTAATTAGCCTTGAACGCTGAAGAGCAACACAAGTTCAGTGATCACCACTCTAAGTTCACAATCGTTATTGTATTCCAGACATTCATCAATATACATACAAAACCAGACCACATCACTTCAATAAATAGAAAACAGCAATCATACATAAACGAGCCAAAAGTGGCTGTGATTAATAAACTGTCAACAAAATGGGTTACTGATAGGTCGAATAAGAAGATATTTTCATCTCAATTTAACAGACGAAATCTCAGCAAGGTTACAGAAGGCTCGATTGGTTTTCGCCAACTTGGGTCACTTATTGAGTAGGCAAGATATCCGTCTGTTAATCATAGGGAGAGTCTACTGCGCAGTAATTCTCTCCATCCTACTATATGTCTGAGAAACACGGCCAGTCAGAGTAGAAGATATTCGTAGTTTACTGGTTTCCGATCATAGGTGTCAACGAAGGATTTCTCGTGTATCCTGGGACAACCGAGTAAGCAGTGCTGTTGTCAGGAAACGAGTACTAGGTAAGGATGGCAGATCAATTGATGTGGTAGTGAATGTTCATCAGTTGATGTTGTTGGGGCATGTGTTACGTATACCTAACCACCGACTACGTTGACGAGTTATGCTGTCAGATGTAAGAGTAGGCTGGAAGGAAGCTGGCGGTGGCCAAACCAAAACATAACACAAATCCTTGAAGTCACTGACAACTGGACTGAGCCATGTTAGTAAGCGTATGCTACGTGGTTCGGGTCCGCGAGATAATGGTTAAAGACTGAATGAAATGGCTCAAAATTGTTCGCAACGACGCAGATGCATCCGTTCTTTGTGTTCTCTCAAATTATAATCCTTTGGATTCATTTCCTTTATCCTCCTCTTTTTGAGTTTGTTACACTAGATTATACTTCTTGAATCATATATTTAAGCCTTGATCTTTTTGATTGCCGCTAATACTTCTAGTACATCTACCACTGTGGGATTTAAATTGACAATTGCATTTGTGTGTTAATAGGGTATGGCAACCTGAACTGATATGTACGTACGCGTGAAGTTCTACGTTGTAACTATCTGACAATTTAACAGTCTACTAAACGGCGCTTTTGACATTAAAAATGTTGAGCAGTTTAATATAAGTCTCAATATGGATAATAATATCATTCAGTTCAATATAGGTGCATCTGACTGATACGTCCCGAATGTAGAATGAAATGTGTATCGTGATTTTCTTTGCTTATCTTCATAAATTTACAACTGATATTATTTCATTCTCAAATAAATTAATATATATACTATACTATACTATATACTATAAGTAGAAATATTGTTCCCTTGAATATATATTTTTGTCTCTTTTTCTTCCTGCGGAGTTATACATCCACTTGCTCATATACACGCTAAATATTGATGGTTTCCTATTTTGACTCTACTATCTATGTGCCAATTAGATTGCTTTTGTCTATAACTCCTCCAGTCTTTATACTTCACCTCATTACCATTCTTTTTTTTCTTACTTCTGACAAGGCGTATTTGCATTTTCTAATTTCATTTCTAACATCTTATTTATGACTCATCAACTAACCAACCAGTCTACTTCAAACAGTTGGCTAACCGTAAAAAAAAATTCCAGGTCGGGTAATTCTTATTGATAAAATAGTTAATTTTGTTTGGATTAAACTGAAGATATTGGGATTCAGTATTGGCTTTTACCATGTTAATGTTAGTAGTCTGCATCCCTCAGTTTCACTGTTACATAATAATTATCTTTTGTGTTCTTTTACTCACTATTCAATGTTATTGTTTTCGTACTATTATGATGTAAGCAATCCGGCTGTTGTTTGCACGCTAATCTGTGATTCGGTCAACATGATAATAACAATAAAAACAATAAACACAATGTATATGCTGTCTTGCCGTCTACTAATATCGATCTTATTTTGTGATTGCATAGTTTACGTGTGAAACATGCATAGTTCATTTGTCTCATATGTTGTATTTTCTTCATATGTATGTAGCTTAGTCATGAGGGAGTGACTAATTTCGTTCGGTTTATTTAGTTGTGAATTTTCGTATTCATTTAATCTTGTCTATATTTAAACTACATTTGAAAATTTTTTTTAAATTATGTGAATTGGAATTGTGTACAAAATTCATTTCATTATGACCTTAAGTTAGTTGGGTTGTGACCTTCAACAACAAAAACAGCCAATCAAGCACCAGAATATAACTGCAATGATATTGTTATTGTTACATTTTAATCAACAAGTTTCGATACTGTATTGTGTGACCTCAATTTGATATAGAAAAAAAATCTGATGGTTTTTATTTTTCAGTATTTTGATATTGAATTTCAGTTGATGCACGATAACTACCCAGTTTGTATTAGATGATTGTACTGTCTTAACTGATAACCTTTCAGGAATTCTGAGTGAATGAATTGTTTTAACATTAGGTTTTCAACTATCAGATCGTAATCTCGGACTACGCCCCTCTTACTTTGGTTTAGACAATTGTTTAGGATCACACAAACAGTACTACATGTAAACAAATACACGAACATGTACTTGACAAATTATCACCTTTTAGCCAACACATACAACTCCTTAAATCAAGTATCAGATTTTGAGTGCTTGTGATATAACACGAATGGCTGCTTGAAATCTTAAAACAGTTTTCCGTACGTCACCGTTGAATTCAAATGTTAGTGAACGGGTAAAACTGTTCAAGAATCTCTGACTACTTCCAATTGGATATGTTGTCCTAACCTCTTCTTTAACTCTTGCGAAATTTTTTCCACAAATAATACCTTCAGAATAATATATTCTTTAAAGATTATGATACGGAATAAATGCCACTTTAAATATTTCAGTTTTAGTAACCAGTAAAAGATCTTAACACTGAAAAACATTTATCATAATGGTTTAAAATAGAGTGTTACCCAAATTCATTTGAACATTTGGTGGGTTAGTCAGTCATTTGGCCATGGATAATGTAGAACCTGGTGTAAATATGTAACAGAATAAATTACTACACGTTAAGTTAACTCAGTTGAATAGTTAAGTGTAGAAGTCAAGTGATGAAAAATCAGGGAATGTTTTACAACTTTTACTTTATTCTACAACATCAAGTGTGTATGGCCACTTTCAGATTTGATTCTAATTCCTTCAAACTTTAAGAATAACTCTGAACTTTGACTTATCGTATATGATATCTAAAGTCTGACATACTTTGAACGTTTTTGTTGTGATGCCTGATGTTCGAGAGTTGTTATGCTCTTTCTAAACATGAGCTCAACTACTTAAGAATAATAAAGTACTCTTGGTCAAACTAAATTCAATGTATGTGATTATTAGAAATTGAAGTCTACCACTAGTTTAATTCTTATATTTTATAAATGGAAGCCATTTATTGACCAATCACTCGCGAAAATATTGGAATACGTGAAGTTTGTGCTGACAACGTTATTCAAAAGAACAGTGAAACTTCCACAAGCAAAACATCCAGCTCAGAAAATAAAACTCCACTATAAACATCCTTCTAAGCTACAGACTTTATCCTTCATCTTAAATTTTCCTCATCAATTAATACTTTTTCCATGATATGATAAACGCTCATAATCCCTATGTTTTTCCTTTGCTTCTATTTAAAATATCAAGTGTTAATTGAAAGATTTTTTTGTGGGATGAAAGAAAATTAAATTAACAACTACCATAACATTAAAAATATCCACGTACATCGACTTGACAACTATTTGCTATTTTGTTTACTTCAACTCAATATGACGTTATGTCTACCGAAGTTTTAAATACTAAATTTCTCTTATTTCTAAAACTACCCGACTGTATACAAAATGTTTCTAGTTTTTATTCTTTTAACAATAAACACAAACACCTCTTCACCATAGAATTAGTTGCTTCAAGGCATAAATCTTTAGGAGATTTATTAGAATGACCGAAGAAAATTGAATCAAGCAAACAGATATTGATTTTTTTCGTTTACGCCACGAAGTGACCATCATTAAAAACTGGATAGCTATTACTTCTCATTATGAAACTGTCCAACTGTTCGCATCCATAACTCTACTGAGATTGAATCTATAAACTTCTTTTCTCTCAGCAAGCCGTTTAATCTTCATATCACTGAGTTGACAGTCATTTATTTAAATTACTAACTTCAATCGATTCTCGATATTGTGCATCCATCATCCAGTTTCATTGTAGAGTAACTGTTTCATTCTCAATGTGATTAAACTCCATTGGTTGCGGTTTCTCATTCGAATCATAAAAATTTATATCTTGAAATTATTCACTAGTGACGGAGTTGTAGAAGCTTTTTTAACTTAGTAGTTTATACCACGGACCAACTTTAAGGACTAGAACTAGATTACCAACGTATTAAAAACGCAACAAATCAATAGGAAAGTGTACCGTTATGTTACTGCAAAAATGTTAGTGCTCTTCATGTGGGAAATCTTTACTGGTAAAAAGATGCGGGAATTCAATTTCTACAGTAAGGAAACACTAAATGGTACAGATAGTTCTTTTGAATCTAATGATTTTGAACAAATTGTTCAACTTCATAGTCGCTATCATCCAATCGATTCTCTGATGTAAAATACACAGTATTTTTCATGTATTATTATCGGTTAACTAGGAGATCAATTAAAATACACTACGATTTGTTTTCATTTGTACTTTTATGATTACTTATTACATATTGTAATAATTGTTATTTGTGTATAATTTAGGTGAATATGGACTTGAAGTATATGCAAATGAACCAGCTGAAGGTGATACTTATACACATATGTGTCAATATTTAATACATTATGAATGTCCACCAAGCTGGAATAGTTGTATTCCAAGATTAACAGTTGCCGGTGCAGATGCTGGTCCATCTCCAGATGCTCATCAATTTTGGCATTCGAATGCTACTAATAATAATACACGTAATGGAACTTTACCAAAATATTTACCTACAACATTGAATGAACCATCCTTGAATAGTACTAGTTCATTGAGAGAAATGTATAATTATGAATTAGATGCACCACCAATTGGACATTTGCCTAAATTATATGCACATTCACAATATGAAAATGCAAATCAGGTAAGCAAATATGTTGCATATATATATATATATATATATATATATATATATATATATATATATATATATATATATATGAAGATTAGAGATAAAGTACCAGGTAAAGACGACACACTAACCAAAGGACGAGTGTACGGTTCAGTAGTTTGCTCTGTCCTACTGTATGGCTGTGAAACATGGTCGTTAAGAGTAGAGAACTTTCGTAGGTTACTAGTCTTCGATCATAAGTATATCCGAACCATTACTCGTGTATCCTGGGACAATCGACGAAACGAGTTCTAGGTAGGGATGACAAATCAATAGATGAAGTAGTGAAGCTTCATCAGTTGAGGTGGTTGGGACATATGTTACGTATGCCTAACCACCGAATACCGCGCCGAGCTATGTTTTGTGGTGTAGAAGTAGGTTGGAAGAAAGCTAGTGGTGGCCAAACCAAAACATGGCAGAAATCCATGAAGTCACTGACAAGTGGACTGAGTCATTTTGGTAGATGTAGGCTACCTGGTTGGGGTCCGCGAGATGAATGTCACCGATGGTTAGAGACCTTGAATGACATGGCTCAAAATCGTTTACAATGGCGCAGGTGCATCCACTCTTTGTGTTCTATGAAATTCTAGTCTTCTGGATTCGTCAACACCTCTACCTTTGTCTTTCCCAACTTATCTCACTGAATTATACTTCTCGAATCATATCTTCTCTCCCTAATCTTCTCCATTACTGCTAATACTTCTACTGTCGCTATCACTATTGGATTTGAACTGACAGTTGCGTCTCTATGCTAATGTGGTATGGCAACCTGAACTGATGTACTTACGTACGAAGTTCTGCTTTGTATATGTCTGTCTGAAAGACGACACAATCGTAAATCTTCATCAATAACGGTAGTTGGGACGTGTGTTACATGCGCTCAATCATCGCCTACCTTGGTGGGTGACGTTATCTGATGTCGTAGTAGTAGAGTTCTCAGCAATCTAGGGACAGCTATATTAAGACGTAACATCAGTCTGTTAGGTCATTGACAATTGGACTTAGTGATGTGGGTAGACGAATGCAGACTACCTGATTGAGTTCCGCATTGCACAAATCCGTTCGCAACAGCACAGGTGCATTCGATCCTTACCTTTCTCTAGAACCTCAGCCCTTATATCTCCTTATACCTTTTTTCTATACCTAATCATTTTTATGATTATTGATACTGTTTCTACTTCTACATGGAGTTGTCTTGAGATAATTTTATCTCTCTATGCTAATATGATATGATAGTGATTAAATTGTGCCGAATCAATTATTGTTTAATTGTGTATTGAAGTTGGGAAAGGAATAGAAAATTTTTTAGTCATTGATGTTGCATCATTTCAATAAAAGCTTCCTTCGTTTAGGACATGACAATAAATATGTTGGATAAAGCCAGTGTTCTTTATCAGTGAATTTGATAGGAAAAAGAAATAATAAGATCTAGAGCATTAATAGTTGGTATGAAATAATGTTAAAATCGTAAGATGTATGAGACGATGAAAAATATTCACATATTTGTACCATTGCTGACAATTTTATGTCATTGCAGTTCAGGTCTTCAAACTTCAATTACCTTAGTCACATGTACACCAACCAGCTAGTTTCCCACCTTTCCACACTGCATAAACCAACAAGAAATAACTAGGGTTACATATATCTAAAAGCCACTTAGTCATAATCAATATAGAACCTAAAACAGATGGCACATACAACAGTAGCATGATAAAATTAAACTAACAACTTGCATACCAAACTAGATCGGAACGATGTAGTAGCAATGGTACTGATAAAAACCAATTATTGAGAATAGTGTTTGAAAAAAATCATAAGACCTGTATGAATGAAGAAACACTGGAGCTCAGGATTTAGAAGAAAAGGAAAAATGAATGCACCTGCACTATTGTAACTGATTCTGAAACCTACCATGCAAGATGTTTAGAGTATCAAACCATTCAAACTTTGTGTAAACGTAAAATAGTTCAAATTGCTTAAACTTCAATACGCAACACTGTAAGAGAAAAATTAAAAGCAATAAGGAAAATATTCAAATGTTAACTGAACGACTACTGCATAATTACTGTTTAACTAATAATATTGTTTGTGCGCATTCTAATCTAAATCAAATGCATTGGGAATATTAGATTTTTATGTTTTTTTCGGCTCAGTTATTATGCTCATATTTATTCATAATGCGTTTTTAAAAATGTAACGTTTTGTTATTTTATTCGATAATATGGTTAGGGTTAGGGACCGTGCTAGTGTTACATTTGACTACACGATACATTAATCGGTGCATGGTTTATAAACTAGTTCGTTTGAATATTCATAGATTGTAGGATAACCTTGTGAAACTAACAGAACATCATAATTACATTAAAAATATCACTAGTTGAATTTGGAAGTATGAACGAACCATTTGATTCCGTTTCAGTAATTTACAAATTTTACATTCACCGCAAAGTATGAAAGTTCTTTGTTTCTTCATCTCTTATATCCAAAAATAAAACCGGTTTCTAATGTTTTCCCCGAAGATATTAACTTATGATATGTAACGAATAATCTCTTTAAGTTCATTATATTATCATCCTACATCATGAAATGCAAATCTCATTTGTCCTGAAAATAGTGAATCTATCTGGCTTTTGTAAAATCACTGGAAATCATTCCAATTTTTATTTGTTCATTTTTCAAAATAAAACTCGGATAAAACTTGGTGTGAATTATACTTTTAAAATAAATTAACTATGCATCTGTAAAACTACGTGTTACATGAAGTTTTTCTACGAAAATATTATTATTATTATTATTATTATTATTAGGAATAATAATTTGTTTTTTTGGCATTCTGAATGTGAACTGTATTTTATTATGGTTGTATCCTTTTCCTTTTCTAGTCTGATTGACCTGACATTTTATTCATTAGGTAATTTACTACATTTTTTTCTGATCATTTTTAAAAAAAAATGAATCATCATGTGAAACCCTAATATCATAATGAAAATATCATTTATTGAACGTTGTGCATCATACTTGGTTAAATTCATAACTGACAACATGTAAACTTGATAAAGTGAGGTGGTTTTGTAAAAAAATACTGAACGATTTAAAGGTGATATTTATTACAAAAAATGATAGCTATAGTACTTGGAAGTAATGAATTGTTATTTCGCCCCACTTCGAGAATTTTCAACGGTGCCATGATTGATCTTCTCATTACTTATCTGATATATTCGTCTCAACCTTTAATGAACAAATCTCTCCAGATAAAAAGCAATGCAGTATCAGTAATTTCTATCATACCTGTACATATCTAGTGTTCTTGACTCTTACTGCCAACTGCATCCAGTCGATATGGCCACTAACTTTAGTTATTCGATTTTAGATGGTTGGTGGAAATTGTCTGAAGAGATCAGTATTAAGTAATTTAAAATTTATTATCATTTACTTACTAATATCTGATTAGTGTGCTCAAATTAGTTTTGTGGTAGATCAATTTCAAGTCCACTATTTCAAACAGGATCATAGTTACGACAGGATGCCAGCTGCACAAATTTTCGTAAATATTGTTTACTGGTTAGTACTAACTGGCTGAAAAAAAACGTCGATTCCCATTGTAGGCTATTCATTCCTCTATGCTTATGGGTCGTGGCAACTTGACCTGATGTACATATTTACTAAGTTCTACGTTGCATCTGACTGACTGACAATCTAATGTAGTTCAGCAACATTCTGTTGATCCATAAACCACCATGACAAAGATTGCGTCAGAAAAGAACACAATAGAATAATGTGTATGTTAATATCCGGAGCTTACTAAATTTATTGTTTTACGTTTAAATTCTCCGAGGTTCAAATCTACGGCTTGATCCAAAGTTGAACGATTTAACCACTAACCTGCCGCTCTATATGTTTGTAGTTTGATTAAGGTCAAATTGATTTGCAAACTATAAAGTTCAACAATCTTCATAAAACCTTTTTACACTTTTTAAGTGTAATGATATAACTTTATATTTATTTTTTTTAGTTTCCAGTTCTCTTATTTGCTCTCATAAATTTATGTGATACAATGTAGTATTGTTTTGTTGTTACTGTAAAACAGTTTTATTTGATTTTTCTTCTTTTGTTCTTCCTACCCTTTATTTATTCCTAATTTAATTTATTTTGATTTAATTTTTGTTTTCCTCTAGCATAATACTTTGCTTATATTCTCTTATATACGGATTATCTTAACATTTTATCAAATGTGATTCAATTGATTATTTTTTTAATTCTGACTACAACAAGAGGCCACTATTTTCTTCCATCTTTTGTTTACTTTCCTCCAATCGCTTGCTTCATACATTCCGGTCTTGTTAAATGTGCTGTGTTATGTAGGGTTATAAATCAGTAGGCTTTTTCAATATATATTTACCAGTGATATCAGTTCATAGTAGTTCAGTCATTCCATTTTTTAACAATATGGTTTGAATAAATATACATATCTGTATATAATTTCAAACAACAGATTCTATGTTTATGGCTGTCAAGTTGTTTCTAAAAAGCTAAAAACTGAATTCTTACCTATTTATAAAAATTAAGTTTAGAGTCCTTGGTTCGAGTACAGACGTAAATATAAACACTAGTGTACGACTACATCTATCTGTCTGATGAGTTCTGTTACGTCCTTGAACCGTCGGACACTAATACATAAAATAACCTTGAAACTAGTAGCACATGAGTTCGGTGACTCATGAACGGCCTTGGCAGAAGGTAGAAAACTATTCTGTCACCTGACAAACTAGCAAGTGAGAGAGAATACTAATCGGCTGGACACTATTCGATTTACAAAAACAAACATATGAATAAATATAAACTTTACAAGATCACAGTCCACAAGGATTTAGAAAAATAGAACCATGCTCAAACTACCCGTTTAGAGTTGAAAATAGAGTATGAGGTTCACACCTGAGTTATGATAATTTTGAAGTAAGACAATACTGCAATGGACAATACATCGCTAGGAGGCTTAAGATTTATGGAATAAGATAGGAACAAAAAGAGATGTTAGTATTTAGCAGATTTTCAATTATGTACAGTTATGTATTCGAAACAAGCTTCCATTGTTTGTCACTGTCTCTTTTCCCTTTCTTCACAACAAGTTCTAAATGGACTGAAATACAATTCTTGGATTCCACTATTATCCATAATATGTAAAACATAATTAAAACTTCAGCTTACATTGAAATATCTAGTCAAGATGTGTATATATACCAACATACATTGATCTAAGTTCCGTTCTGAATGGCACCTATGTCATTTGTCTTTATTTTAACTGGTTTTAACAAGTCATATAAAACAGATATCTATAGGGTGTTCGTTGCTCTCATTGCTCACTCACTTGTCTTGAATGTCCAAACCATCATTATGAAAGCCTCTAAAGTACATCAGTAATGTAATATATTCTGGAGCGATTATGATAACTTATAATTTCAATTCTATTATTATTATGAAGCATGTTTTTCGATGTTCAGTCTGGAAGATAAATTACAAGCATTTTTTTGCTGCATTTATTTTGAAATAGTGACTGCTTTTTGATAAAATAATAATGACGTCGTGATCCTATTGATCGTCAATTTTCTTTTAAGTGTATTACAATCAATTTATATGTCTGCTACTAAGTCGTCAACAGCTACTGGTGTAACATAACTCATAAATTACACAATCTCGGTAGAGATTTCTGTCACATTTATGATTCAGTAACGAATAGTTTATTAATAAACCATGGATCCTCAGTTCGTACCGAGATCCCCATCCATACTTTGCCGAGATACTCCTTACCATACTACTTCTTGATTGTTTACTGTGTTAAATAAGAAGAAACAGTTGATTAGATAGTAAATTTCTGCCAACTGACATGGTAAAAGCATGTATCACGTGTGACCAATCACCACTTACCTCAAAGATCGATTTATGCTGATATGGGAGTTGGTAGGAAGAAAGTCAGGAGCTGCCAAATCAAATATGTCATCAGTTCATAACTGTTGTTGACTGTTCTATTTAGCCAATTTGATAGGTACAGACTACCTGGTTGTCGTTTCTACGCCTATCTTAACCAGTAGTTAAAGACTTGATGACACTGCTCAGAATCGGTCTCAATGGCGTTGGCGTATCAAGCCTCTTTTCCACCTTGATTTTGAGTTTCCAGATTACCTCATACCGTTTTACCCCACTAATTCATTCTTCTCGTTTCATATTCTCTATGCGCAGTTGTTTCGTGTACCATTGATACTGTTAATACCTTTATAACTTTAGTATTTGTTTTAACAAATTCATCTGTCTGTACTGCAATGGCGTAGTAACTGGTACTGATGATGCACGTATATCCCGAGTTACACATTGTCTATGACTGACTGTTCATTATGGTTTTCATTAGTGTACTAACTTGAATTCGACACTTTCCTAAAAGTGTATATATATACTTTTTGATTCCTTCTATATATCTAGACAAGTTTGAATCGTTCAAATAATTATTCAACAAATAATAACGATAATGTATGTAAACCACCATTTGGATATGTACCATCGAAAAGTAATCATCTTACAAGCAATGATCAAGATCATAAATATCATGCTACTACAGCTTCACCGCCAATCGTACCAAATTCCAATGATCGAATATCAAATTTAAATCAAAATTTTGCCAATATCAAAATTAAACAAGTATGTTTTGTTCTATTTTCTTGTTTATATATATATATATATATATATATATATATATATATATGTATTCTCATTTATTAAAACAATGCAGTTATTCAGTAATCATTTAAATTCTCAATCTCAAACTTCATTTTTTTATGTGAAAGTTAATAATAATAATAATAATAATAATAATAATGAATCACTGTTAACAGCCTAAATTCTAACTTCTTTGACAACTAAGTTATCAATCGATTTCATATGCATATACGCTATGTGTTCGAAAGCTTTCTTGCCACCTATCATAGTTTTATCAGTTGTATAGTTAGACTGTAGACTTACTAATTTGGACCAATAGAGTATCATAAACTTATCCATCTTAAATGTTTCCACCCATTATTAATATTCGAAAGGAATGTATTTGTTCAATGTGTTATTTGACATCTATAGACTTTTGTTGATCGATTGTATTATTTTCTGAATTCTGTCTTGTTTTTCTTAATTTTTTATTATTGTTTGCTTTTTATTGTGTATTTCAACGGGTTGGCATTAAACTATGGATATACTACTTTGCCTAGTTTCATCCTATGCATCATATTTGTAATTAGTTGATTTAATTTCATAAGTAAACTGAAATAATCAACATGAAAAATATCATACAATCCACCTTTAAGTGTACTGTATGCAACATGGCAAATATCATAATCTTAGAAATCAAATAAAATCCTATTTCCCTAATGTTTATTTCTAGATATAACAGTTCATTCATTATCATGATAATGATACATCTAATCAGTCAGTCAGTCAGTCAGATGCAACGTAGAACTTTGTACATAAGTACATCAGTTCATGTTGCCATACCACATCAGCACAGAGAAGTAATCGTCAATTCAAATCCAATAGTAGAAGAGGTAGTAAGGGAATTAGAAGTAATCGGAGAGGTTAGGATTAGGAGATACTATTCAAGAAGTATGATTCAGTGAGAAAAGTTTAGAGAGTCGGAACTAGAGGGGTTGAAGAATCCAGAAGATTAGCATTTGAGAGAACACAGAGAATAAATGCACCGGCGCCATTGCGAACGATTTTGAACCATGTCATTCAAGGTCTCTAACCATCGATTATTATCATCTCGCAGACCCCAACCAGGTAGTCGACAATTACCGACATGGCTCAGTCCACTAGTCAATAACTTCATGCATTTCTGCCATGTTTTGGTTGGGCCGCCCCTAGCCTTCTTCCAACCTATTCCTACACTACAAAACAAGGCTCGACGAGGTAGTCGGTAGTTGGGCATACGCAACATATGTCCCAACCACCTCAACTGGTGAAGTTTCACCACTTCATCTATTGATCTGCCATCCTTGCCTAGCACCCGTTTCCTAACGACAGCATTGCTTACTCGGTTGTCCCACGGTATACGAGCAATGCTTCGAAGACACCTATGATCGAAAACCAGTAACCTACGAATATCTTCTACTCTCACTGGCCATGTTTCACAGCCATATAGGAGAACGGAGCGAACTGCTGCACAGTAAACTCGTCCTTTGATTAGAGAACGGATATCACGCCATATAACATGGTGTAATTTATAAAGTGCTGCACCCTGGACTCACTGAGGCCTCAATCTTCTAATTTCTGGTTCCATTTAATATAAGACACCCAAATAACTCAATGTAAATTTGTGTAACTGTGATACTGCTAGATATAGCTTTAAATCCTAAGGACAACATCAGTTTACTCATAGCTTCGAATTCATTTTATTGACAAGTGTCTAGATTCATAGCTTCCCATCGTTTAACACCATTTAATACTCACTTATCAATAAAAAGATTTAAGATAACATTAGAAGTAGCTGACAAAAATATTCAACTATCTTTTATTCTCTTATTTGTAAATTCAAAGTTATTTTTCTCATAAGAATTTCCTAATATCAGTCTCATATAAATTTTCCCATCATTTAAAAACCTTAGTCAGAATATGCATAAAATCATGCTTAGAACTTCTTTTTCCCGACACACAAACTTGTATTCTACCATTTGTTTATCTGTTTCCTACACACCATAGTACAACGCTATTCATTGCTTTGGCATTTGTCGCAAAAGTTACTTACCAATTCTCTTTATTTTATCATCATTTTGCTATTGATGTATAAATTAGATAAGAAAATATCCATCCATTAGTTTTTTTTCTTCTTCATGATATGTTATTGTTACCGATTTTTGATAAAGAAACTAAGAACTGTATGATTGTTTGTCACTTCAAACAGTTGTATGTCTATAGATGTAAGTAAGTATGCATACTGATCATAAATCGATATAATTGAATCATTTTGATTTTACTTAAAGCTGTGATTATTCAGGTGACTTTTTTTCCTTCTTTATTGAGTTTTTATTCCCTGAAGTACTTTAATTAAATGAATTAAGTCATACAATATCTCTAATGTTCGAGACCTAAAGGTTCTGGGTTCAACCACTGGTCAGGACATATGCACCCACTACTGAGGAGCACCAAATTTGGACGAAACAGCTATTCAGTTCTCCATAGTTTTCATTGGTACACTAACTCACATCGATTTTTATGAAGACTACCTTTTCAATTAAAATCATTAGTCCCTTTTATAAATTCTGATAGAACGATTAGAAGACCTTGACAAGTATATGTGTGACCAGATTGTTCGCAATGTATGGCGCAAACTCATCACATTTTTCACATCAATTACGTCTTCTCACTGTTCTTTTCAATTAAACTAAGAAATGTTTGCAATTCATATATCTATCAAGTTAATATTGAAATTTCTCATATCTACACATGCATCACTAAACTTCACTGTCTGAAACACAGTCTGATAACAGTTTAATGTTAACCTCTCAGATTGTAAAGCTAAGTGACGGGTTAACATCAATTCCTCCATTATTATAGATACCTTTTGCCTCTAACCATCTGGTATCAAAATATGTGAAACCACATTTCTTCAAGCTTCATAATGCAGTTTATTGTAAAGACGTTTTGCAATTGGAACAAAACAGTTATCGTTGGTTTTTAATGATGCTTCATTTGATTTCATACTGTAAGGGTGACAATGTTGAAATGAATCAAACTACTTGAAACTAGTATTATATTGCTCACTGGTGACTTGTTTTGATAAAACTATCCTAGTGTTCTTATTTAAAACATAGATATGTGGAGTCAACAATAGAAACGAACAGCCATGGGTAAATATTGTAGAAAGTTCTCACCCTCTTACCAAAATATCGATCGCTAAGTTCGAAATGAATTTGTACCCTTCAATATACTTGAAGGTCTCATGTTCTGTGTTCTTAAATGAGGCCATCCTGAAGTAGAACGAAAATTTTTCCACTGTTATTTTTTTCAATTTTTCAAGTGATGTTAATTTATGGCATAGGTAACTTTCACATTCAATGAATCTATGCAAATCAGTAGATTAAATGTGTATTGTTTGCTGGTTCAAAGATATATATATATATATATATATATATATATATATATATATATATATATATATATATTGGCATTTGTCTATCTATCTATCCACAGTACGATTCTATACTTTGCTATTTTTATAAAATTGTATTCGTTTGTTTTTTGTCTTCAGCGTCTGTCTGAAATGCGTAATTATCCACTTATAAGTAGTAATAGTAGTGGTAGTAGTATGTGGAATACTAGTATATGTGTACGCACGTTTTGTATATTTTATGTGTTCAACTTTTGTAAACGCATTGCGAGTCGCCAATACTAGCGAATAAAGACAACTGTTTAACCTTCCGCCATGATTGTGTATGCTAGTAGACTATATATACATATTAAAAAGTTTAAATTAGGTTACTTTCTTAACTGGAGATAAGTGTTTTCGTGTTATGAAAAGATCTGGCTACTAGGATAACTGAGAAGTACAAATGTACATAAATGAAATTAATCTCTCACTGATAGTCAACGATTAAAGCTTAGTTTGGTAATTATCATACTAATTGTCTGAATGCATAGGATATTTTATTGTTTACTTACAATTTATATTGACATTTAAGCTTGATAGTTCCCTGTTAATGAAAGAGAATATAAGGATCACTAGCTAGCTATATACAAATCGAAATTAGTTGGATTAGGTTTCTAAGTTCGCAACTTTATTTGTAGGTTGGAAGAAAGCTAGGGGCAGCCAGACCAAAACATGGCAGAAATGCATGAAGTCACTGACAAGTGAACTGAGTCATGTTGGTAGATGTAGACTACCTGGTTGGGGTCCGCGAGACGAGAGTCATCAATGGTTAGAGACCTTGAACGACATGGCTCAAAATCGTTTGCAATCGCGCAAGTGCATCCATTCGTTGAGCTCTCTCAAATCGTAATCTTCTGGATTCGTCAACACCTCTGCCTTTGTCTTTCTAACCTTATCTCACTGAATTATACTTCTTGAATAATATCTTCGAACCCTAGTCTTCTTCATTACCATTAATACCTCTACTATGTTTATCACTATGGGATTTGATTTGACATTTGCGTCTCTGTGCTGGTGTGGTATGGCAACATGAACTTATGTACATACGTACGTAGTTCTACGTTGCAACTGACTGACTGACTTTATTTGTTAACCACTGACTTGCCCTTCATGACTAAAATAAGGTTACGTTTCGTAAGAAAAAAATAATCAGTAATTCTTATGCTCAATTAATAATGATAATATTCGAGTATATAACTAACATTGATCAACTGAATTTAGCTTAAATATTGTTTCTATTATTCACTAGCCTTAGTGATCAAATTCATCGACTTTCATATAAGTAAATAATTAAATGTTGTTGATCACAAAGATCGCTCTTTCTCATATTCAACTCCTAGTGGATCCAATCATCCAATTACATTTCTATTAATAAACAACTTGTTAGGATATTCATCCAATATCCTAAGAGAATTATTGGTAAATTCCTTGTGGTTAATTCTTACTGGTCAATATTATGGTCGTCCTAGCTATCAATGTCACGTACTTAAATGTTGTTTCCTATTGGTAG